ACACAAAGCATAAAAATCAATTCCTCCGAGACGTCGATAATCCCAGTTAATCTTGTATTTTTTGGAAATATAGTTTTGTAAGCACCAAATTGCAAAACGTGTATATTTGAAATACTTATTTGTTCATTGTTGTTTAATATAAGAAATGAAGGTATTAACGATATTTCGGCTTTGTTTTCTTTGAGAACATCCAAACATTCCACACTTGAGCAGTAAGCATAATGTATTTTGGTTTTGCAATTCATACCTTTTGAAAAGAGATTGGCAATTTTTTCCATGTTTTTAATTATCTTTTCATCAAGATGCCTTTTTAAATTCTCTGAGCATAAAAATCTTAATTCCTGCCCATGAAGGTCTCGCAATTTATTCGGGAACCATTCTCTATCGATTGTTATTTCTTGAGCGGAATAGGTTCCAGCAAAAAGATTTATCTCATGTAGAATTGACTGATTGAATTTCTCTCCTGCTAATGATCTTCGGTATTCGTTTGGCTGCATCATCATAATAACATCGATCCATTCTAATTTCCAAAACGTTTTAAGAAAATTATTGAATGGAAAAAGATTGTGTGGCGAAAAAATATTAAGCAACATTTTTGGGAGTGCCTCTCCCCAACCCAGTTGCGCGACACTTTCAATTATAATTTTTAGCTGATTTAATAGCTCATCAAGATTGCCATCGAAAAAAAAAATAAATAATGTTGTTTTCCTTGGTCGCTGTAGTGATGACGGATAGTTAGTTTTAATAAATTCGAATTCAAATTTAGATAAACTAATGCTCATTGTTGGAAAGTGCTCCGAAACTTTTTGAACAAGAGAACTTGCTCTTGAGCTTGAATTCATCCAGCGATCGTCGACGACAAACATTGCCTGATACAATAAAAATCATTAATAAACACGATGCTAAATAAATTAATGATTAATTAATTTTTACACTCGTTTTTAATTTTTATTTTATTATTTTTTACACTGTCATATAAAAAAAATTATTAAATCACAATATATTAACGTTACAATTATTACACTGAAAAAAAATAATTTATTTGATTCAATTTTTTTGTTAATTGACTATTATTATCAAATAAATATTTACTTGAACCAAATAATTTTTATTTGAATTAAATAAATTGTATTTGAATCAACGCTTTCTGCTTGTATTTAAAACAAATATCATTTAACTGGCTCAAATAATATAATTATATTTAATACAAATAAATATATTTGTTTGATAATAGTTAAATAACCGAATATTATTAAATCAAATAAATTTTTTTTTCGTTGCATTATTATATAACAAAAATGACATCTTTTATATTAATATATATATCTTAAATAAATAAAATGTAAGTTTTCTTATAATTTCTAAATTACCTGATACAATTTGGACTCTTTCTGCAGATAGTTTATTAATCCTCCTAGGTAACCATTTTTTGTTGCGTCTCCCAGGCTCCTTGATCCAATAATTATTAAGCATAAACAGTATTTTGCAAATTTCATCAGGAATTTTAATTTTGAAATCCCACGTCATCACTTTTGTTGCAGATTGTAACTTTGTCAAAGGACAAGTTACGTCTTCACTGTGTTGTTGGGAACTTTTGATAGTGGAAATTCACGGAACAATCTATTCCCGTATGCTTGTCATAATTTTCGAGATTTTACAAAAGATAGTCTATGAATTTAAAGGTGAAAATGAGTCTTAAACACCGTATAAAGTAGAAGAGGGTATTAATTATTGAACATTTTAGTTTTTAAGCCTTGTTCGTTAAACGGTTTTTGTTGGCATTTAAAAATCGATCCATTTTTGTAAGTTTCCTATGACCTTGAAATTTTTTTTTTTAAAAAACTGAATTTACGCATTACTTCTTATAATTTAGTTTTTTTAAATTATAGTATCAATATTATTTAAAAAACTAGAGACGTGTTCCTCGCTCGCTCGGTTATAGTTATACTTATTGTAGTTTATGTATATTATATATATAATTTATGTTTTAAATTAATATTTTATTAATATTATATAAAATTGATCTTAATTTTGATCAGTAACATTGAAGGATGAAATGACAATTGTTAAATATTAAATGTTTTTTATAATTAAAATTATAACAACAATATTAATTATACTAGCAAAATTAAACGCCCGCCAAATTGAGTATTTAATTATTTGTTATAAAGAAATTAAAGATTAATATTATTAATAATAATTTAATTTATTAGAATATTATTACATATTAAATGATAATAATGAAAATTATATGTTTACAGGCTTCGGATTATACGACTTTTTCCGACTTTTTTCAAAAATACGACTTTTATCGACTTATTTTAATAAAATGCGACATTTTTTTTTACATTTGAAAAAAAATGTAAATAAAATACATTTTTTTAGTATAAAATGTATATCTTCTTCAGATCTTCTTCAATTCAATTATTTATCAAATTTTGAACTAAAATGATTCTTCACTAAATTAATTATTTTTAATAATTTTAATTAAATAAATCACAAATTCAATTATATCAAAATTATTTTTCTATTAAAATTTTTATGAAATTTAACAATTGTTTATAATTTTAAAAAAATATCACAATAAAATTGAATTATTTTTTAAAAATTTCAATTCAAAATAAACTAAAATTCAATTATTACCCGAAATTTTAATTCAAAATCAATTAAAAATCCAATAATTATCAAAAATTTTCAATTTAAAATTTAATTATTTACCAAGTTTTCAATTTAAAATGAAATAAAATTCAATTATTTTCTAAAATTTCTATTCAAAATTAATTATCCAAATTTTCAATTAAAAATGAACTTAAATTAAATAATTATCCAAAATTTAAATTAAAATTCAATTATTTCCCAAAATTTTCAATTCAAAATGAACTGAAATTCAATTATTTTCCAAATTTAAAATCAAATAAAATTTCATTATTCTCAAAAATTTGAATTCAAAACTAATTGAATTTTCAATAATTTGAATTTAAAAGCATATCTAAAATTTTATTATTTCTAAAATTTTCCATCGAAAATTTTTTTTTTGAAATTTAATAATTTCAATTATAACTCTAAGGAAATTCAATTATTTTTAACTATTTTAATAATATTCTTTGAAAATTCAACTATCTGAAACCATTTTTCAATTAAAAATGATTTTCAAATTATTGTATTTTGTCCGCATTTTTTAATAAATTTTTAGTGAAATCATCTATAATTTTAATTACAAAACACTTAAAGTTTCAATTAATTTCAAAAATCTCAATTTTAAATCTTTGAAAATTTAATTAAATTTAAAAAATGTTTTCCAAAAATTGTTTGATAAATTATTTTTAGTTCTGTAAAATTTAATAATTCTTTGAAAATTAACAATATCTTTTGAAATTTAATTATTTCTAAAAATTTCAACTTTAACCCATCGAAAAGGATTATTATTAAAAAAAAAATTTTTTATTTAAAAATCTGTAAAATATTTTTGTTAAAATAAAAAACAAATCCATTTTTTTTGGAATATAAATCGACTAAAACGACTTTTTTGTGTCTTTAAGTTGATTCGAGGCCTGTGTTTTTATAATTAATATTTAATAGGTATTCGTTGGCCCCTGGTACCTTAAAAATTAATTTTTTTTAAATTACTATCTTGTACGAAATTTCCTGGTGCATCTTTTTTCTCATCATAAATTTTTTGTATTTGTATACAATTTTTGAATCAATATACAAGTTTAAAAAAAATTTCGTTGGTAAACGTTGTGTACTTCAGCTTCGTGAATTGAATCTTCGAATTCGGAATTTTAAAGAAACTTATTCCAAAATTTGGAAACACAATTATACAACTTTGGTAAAAATGAGAAAAAGAATAATTGTCAAAATTTGACACGTCATAAGATTACTATTAAAAAAAACACGTGAAATCAAAAAAGGCCAACTTCAAGTTAGGACAGAAGGACAGACCAAGCATTTTATTATTATAATATATTATATTTAATTATATTATATTATATTATATTATATTATATTATATTATATTATATTATATTATATTATATTATATTATATTATATTATATTATATTATATTATATTATATTATATTATATTATATTATATTATATTATATTATATTATATTATATTATATTATATTATATTATATTATATTATATTATGAATAGTTTATCATAAAAAGATTTTAATTTACCAACAAATATTGAATTATCTTTCCCCATTTGTTACTTAGAACCATCCATTGATAGTGAAATTAAACCTAGAGAAAATAAAGTAAATGTTAACACTTTAACAAAAATTCAACGATACATATTTGATTATATTGTTGATGTATTTTACAATAAAATTGATAATAGAAATATCTTCATCGATGGTCCTGGAGACAGTAGTAAAGGTTATTTACTAAATGCACTTATTGAATTCTTCAATGAAAATGAAATTTCTATAATGTCAGAGGCATGGACAGGGATAGCAGTAAATTAAACGGTTTTTGTTGACATTTAAAATTTTTATTTAATTTTTTTTATTTTTTCATTTAGTTTTTTCAAATTTTCGATCGCGATAAATTGCTTTCATTAGCCGTCGAAGTTGGTAGTAAAGCAAAAGACAATTTTAACAGCTTTGTCCTGATCTTTTTGCAAGAAATTGTGTAATTCAAAAATTTTTTCCTCTTATTAAATTTTTCTTCTTCGATAACAATTATTATAAATAGACACATAAAAAAAAACTTTTTTGAAAAAGTAATTATTTTTTAAAATTAAAAGTTTAATCTCTAAAATTATTTAAAAATCTCTATTTAATTCAAATATTAATTATTTTTTTTTACTATATTAATTAAATATTATTCTCTTTAAAAAAAAAAAAAAAATGATTTATTCTTAAAATTTATTTCCATGGACTATTTTAATTATAAATAAATATATAAAAGAAAAATTAATTTTTAAAATTAAATCAAAATTGATAGGAAAAAGAAATTATTATCATTTTTAATCAATATGTTTGTAAATTGAGTTACAATTGTTTATTTTGTAGAAAAATTACATCTTAGATTAAATTTAAATTAGATTTTTTTTTGTCTAAGACTTTTGTTGTAAAATTATGAGGTACATGGTTTTTCGCAATTCTTTTTCATTTTGTTTTTTTTCTTCATTCAGTCATTCGCACATAATTGCACGCAACATTATTATTTTCAATGTACAATATTTAATATATAATATTGAAATGTATACAGGGATCAAAAACTGGAAGCAAGAATTTTTTTCTCTCACAAGCACATCGGTGACGAGAATTCAAAAGAATAAACAAATATTGTATGGAAATTAATTAAATTATAATTAATTTTTTTTACAAATATGTTTTAGAACGAGATAAATTAAAATAGTTTTCGGTGAAGATTTTTATTGTTCATTACTCGTTCTTTGTTTGTTTGTTTTTTTAGATTATTATTATTTTTTTTTTTTTTGTACGAGGTGAGTTTTTCTTGTTCAGAAACGAATCGCAAAATTTGGATATCCCACCCTTGTCACGTGTTCGATGTTTGTGAATTCACAATGATGAATTTGACTTCCTGGACTTCCTTCAGTCGATAACCATTGTGTCCTAAAATAGTGAATAATTTTATTATTTATTTAACACAATCCCAAATGGTTGACAAAAATAAAATGTCACTTTATGTTGTAAAAAAAAACACGAAAAAATTAATTATTTTTTATATTTCGTTTATTTTTAAAATAAATATTTAATTTTTCAATTATATTAAAAAATCAGTTTTAAAGAAAAATAAAAATTTATAAATTTATTATAAATAATAGGACTCTGGCCGTCTATTTTGAATAAATAAATATATTGATTTTTTTTTATAATTTAATTTTTTAGTTTTTAAATTGTAATTTTTATAAAAATATTAAAAATCTTGAAAAAACTAGGAACGATGGTGCAAGAAATGAGACAGTATTACTTTTACACAAAATTTTTTTTATATATTTAATTTTTTGTCTCTCTAGATATATAATTTTTTTTTATATGAAAAAAATAATTTTTTTACAAGATAATAAAGAAGTAAAAAATTTTAAAATTAAACAAAATAATAAAAATTTGGAGAAATAAATAATTAAATTAATTTATTTTAAAAAAAAGTTGTTTACGAAAAATGTTTATTTAAATTTATTAATTAATTTGTCCTTTTTTTATTTTTAGTCTTTTTTTCGGCGTCAAATCACAAAAATTGGAGAAATTGAACATCGCAAAATTATTCAAGGACAAATGTCTCGTCGGTATCGAGACCCAAATATTGGCGTGTGACATGGAAAGTTTTTTTATCATTGCACTGCTTTGCGGATGTTTGCCCTGCAGCCAATTGGCCAACGAGAAACTGTCACTCAATACATGACATCGTCCATTAATTTTGCAAGTATTATAATTAGATAATTTAGATCGAGAAGAAATTTCAAATATTTCCATTTATTTGTCATTAAATTTAAAATATAAATAAATAATCAGGAAAAAGGCTATAAGAAAAAAAAAAAAGAAAAAATTTCTTTGTCGCTTGTTTCATGAAACAAATTCAATGTTATTTTAAAAATTGATTTTTTAATTAGAGTTTTTTTTTTCTTTGAAAAAAAAAAACAAAACAAACAAGTCACGTGTATTTTTCCACCTTGATAAATTGACAACTTAAAATAACTTACAGACTGCTTCCTTTTTGATAATAAGCCAGCTTAATTATTACTTTTAGCCTCGACCGATTTATTGTTATTGATAACAGTCATTGTTAAATACCTTTTCGTTAATTTGAAGGTCTAATTATTAGACTTTTTTTTTTGGTTTTTGTTTATTTGATTTGTAAAATTTTCAATCCATAGAAAGAATTTTTTTTTTCTAATAAAAAATGTTCTTTTAACATTAAAATTTTTTGAAAAATTAATTTAAAACAATTAATATGTAATATAATTTTTAATTATAATTAATTATAATTTTTATTTAATTAAATATAATTTTTAATTATAATTTTTATTTAATTAAATATAATTTTTAATTAAATTTTTATTTAATTAATTTTTTTTAATTATAATTTTTTAATTTTTCAAATTAAAATCTCAAAATCTTGAAGAAATTTGTTGCCAAAGAAATTTTCTTTTTTTTTACCTTTTTACTTTATTTTGACTGAATAAATGTAAAAAAACAGAATTATTCATTTAAAATAAAAACTGAAAATATTCGATTTCAATGTAAAATTTATTTTAATAAAACTAATTCGTAGAAATATGTACATATAAAAAAGCGAAATATTCAAAAATTGAAAATTGAGGTATTATTTCAAATTTTGAATTACTTTTTTGTAGAGAGGAAGAGATTTTTTTTTCGACATCTTATTTTTGAAACGCGTCATCTGTTAAACGAGATAATCACTCAAATTATTTCATAAAGATCTATCATTGAGAAAATGTATAATTTGCATTTAATAAGATTTTACAATCGAGAATTTGAACTTATGACGTTTTTGACTTTAATAATAATAATTTGATTTTTGTCTCGTTAAAGATTAAGAAAGAATTTGCATTATTAAAAAAAAAAAAAATTATTTTAACAATTTATAATTAATTTGTTTATTTTATATTTATTACAAGATTTTAATTAAAGTTTTTTAAAAATATTAAATTTTCCAATATAAATCAACTTGAAATTAAGTAAATAAATAATAATTCTTTTTTATGAAATTTTTTTTGAATTTCAAAATATGATTTCTTGAAATAATTAATATTAAATAATTAAATAATTAAATAAATAATTAAATTTGATTTTATATCTAATAATGAAGTTAATTTAAAAAAAAAATATGTGAAATTTCCATAAAATTGAGAAATTCATTGAATTTCAATTAAAAGAAAATATTTATAAATAATTTTTTTTTTTTTACAATTTCAGAAGATGAAAAAGAAATAAAGAAGATAAAATTTGATAGAGTAATACAGAGAAGATGTTTCGGCGATATGTCGCGAATAAAAGAAAAAGGAGGTGGCGGTGAATTTTGTCCCGGTGGTCTATTACTTCATTAAATTGTTATTAAAGTCAGTCTTGAATTTAATGGTACGTATCTACTCAGTAAATTTACTTCTGAGGTCACGGGCTTTTCAATGGCCGTCGAATATACAAATCGTCGTCGTCGTTCGAGAATCGTGTCGGACCGATTTTGTTCAAACTATTATGACGCGTTTAGTGAACTTCACTTCCAAAAGACTGACGAAACAACGTCAATCAAATGATTATTATCTCTCCTTTTAAAAGTTCTTATCAAGAGAGCAATGATTCATCGAGGACAATATTTTTTTTCCTTTTTTTTTTTTTTTTTTGTTCAAGTCAAATTTTACATTCCATTTGAGAATCTTAAATTCATATTCAAATAATGTATTATTCAATTAATTTTGAAATTCCAAATATTCATAAAATTAGAAATTTTATAATTTTATTTCGGAATTTTTTTCAATTTAAAAATTCATTTTATGAATTTAAATTTATTTATAATTGATAAATTGACTATTATCAAATAAATATTTACTCGAATTAAATAAAAATTAATTTAAAAAAAAACATTTGATTCAAATAACAATTGTTTGATTAAAAAAAAATTTTTTTGATTTATATGAAATAATATTTTTCAAAAATATTTAATGTGTGAGGAAAAGTTTGAGAATTTAAATTGAAAGATGACAAAATAATTAATTTAATAAAGAGAAACACTTACATTTGTTCAACAAGTGATTCGGATCCCTGCATTTTTCCAACTATTGTTCCTCTTTTTGTGTTTTTCACCCAGCCACAGATTCCAAGTTGTTGAGATAAATCCCTGACGTATTTTGGAAAGTAACAGCCTAAAGATAGTGGAATACTTTTTTAATAATATTGCAAAAAACTCTCTTTTCTACTTTCGAATATTTTTTCGTTTTTTTTTTTTGTTTATTAGTTTTTACACAATCTTTTGTCTTTTGATATTATTAATCAATTTTTTTTTAAATTTCTCTCTTAATTTTTTTATTGTATTTTTTTTGCATATCCTAATATTTCTTATATTTAAAAAAAAATTTTTTTTGTTCCTATTTTTATTTCTATCATTAATTGTTTTTATAATATCTTATATTTATTATCATTGGTTTTTAATAATTCGATTCTTAATGTTTTATTTTTATTTACTTATTTTCTCCATTTTATATTTTTACAAAGTTTTACAATTTTCTTTCCCGCAAATTTAAAAAATAAAATTAATTTGTTTTTATTTATATATATATTTTTTTATAAATATTTCTATTATTATTTTTACTATTATATTTTTATTATTATAATTTCCATAATTTTTTAAAAATTATTATTATTTTTCATCATTATTTGTTTCAAATAAAATAAATAAATTATTGCTTGTTTAGTAAAAATTTTTATCATCTATAAAGGCTACAAAAAAAATTAATAAATAAAACTTTTTATATTTAAAATAAATGTTTAAATTTTAAATTAATTTACGAAATAGAAAACATTTTTCTTCAAGATTTCAAAATTACTAAATAATTTGCCAACACTTATCTTGAAAATATCTAAAATATTATAAATAATACTTTAAAAAAAGTATAATTAATAAAAAAAAATTAATTTCTGTTTTTTTTTTTAAATTCGTACTTTGCAATTTTAATCATTTATCTTTTTTTTATATTCATAAATTTTGATAATTTATTTATTTAATTGATAGACAAGTCTTAATTTTAATAAATTTTTATTTTACAAATTTTTGAAGTTTTATTTCCACCTTTTTTTTTGAATGAAAATTCTCCCCTATTAATTTTTGATGATAAATAATGAAAAGAAAAAAAGTTTTGATGTAAAAATGATTTTTTTTTTTTTTTTCCAGTGAAGCATAATTTATTATAATTTCATTTTAGTTTCAGATATCAGACGGGAATCAATTCTCCGCACCTCACACAACCCGTTTGACCTTCAACGGAACGTGACCTGCTTCTTCACTTCCGTTGACCGAATGCTATCATGAGTGTCATCTGTTCGAAACTCACCCTGCACCTTTCCGAATACTTCAAACTCAACGGACAGGATTGGTTCGTCGCGAAGTGGATCACAACACGCCATCCTCGAAATTTTTGCACCCAAAAAAAAAAATAATAATAATAATAATCAAGGTTTGCTGTTCGTTTTAAAATTTATTCCGATTTTCTATTCGTTTATTTTATAATTAAACTTTAATTAAAGAAAGAAAGAAAGGAAAAAAATATTTTCGAATTTTACTCGAGAAAATCGGTCGTCGTTTGATAAGTATCAGTAAAATATATGTCGTTTAGATATTTATAATTATAGTGTTGTTTTAAAGACAACACCTTTGTAACGACACAATTTCTGAACTGATCAACTGATTTCCTTTTGCACTACGTGTTGCATCGCGATAGTTTCAATGCCTCAAATAGATTCCCCACTCGCGGTCACAGGGCCATCAGGCCATTGGCGATCGATTGAAAATCGATCACAAAAAACTTACTAAGTAAAAAAAGAAATTACTTGTTCAAAGAAAAGTTTGTTTTTTTCATAAGTTTAACGAAAAATGTTAAATCTCTTTTTTCTGGAAAAGTTTACATAGTTTTTTTTTTGAAAATATTCTTTGGAGATAAAAAATTAATTTTTCGATAGTTTTATTAAAATATAAGTATAATATTAATATAAATGGAAAAATTATATTTTTAAAAATTTTTATATATATTTTAATATTATATTATTATTTAATATATTTGAAAATAATTTTTAATTATAATTAATTTTTCATTTTGTTTTTTAATTATTATTAAATATTTTAGTTAATTATAAAATAAAATAAAATTTTTATCCTCTTTCAAAGAATAATTAAATTATTAAGTTTTGAATTAAATTTAAATTGATTTTGATTACGAAATTTTTATGTTTTCAAGAGAAGCATAAATTTCTTTTTATACAAATTTTTGAAATATTTTGTAAGACCAATATATTATAATTTTTATAATACCGATATTTATTTGATATTTTTTATTCAAATTGTTATTTACTGTAAAAATTATTTATTCGAATTTATATATTTTACATAATTTTTATTTTTTTTTTTTATTTATTATTTAACAAAAAATTCATTTCTCTTGGATTAAAATTAATTATTTTATTTAAAATTTGGAAATATTTTTTTTCACTTCTATACTTTGGAAAAATTAAATAATAATTGAATTAATAATTGTAAACAACAATTTTTTATGGTTCAAAAAAAAATTTTTTTTTTTTAATATTTTAAATTCTTTATTAAAATGATTAACAAATTTTCTTTTTATTAGCTGCAAAATTACTTGAAATTCATTTTAAAGAAAAAAATATACACGAATATTCTCAAACTCGATTCTTCAAATATTATGTTGAACTACTTGAGTTTTGTCTGACTATGCGAGATTTGTTTCACTTTTTGAATAGGTATATCTAAAGATTGCATGACAATAAAATTAAAATTATATTGATAATTTTTTAAAAAATTACTTCAGGTTTATAATTATTTATGAATATAATTAATTTTGCTCGTAATTAAAAATATAATTAAAAATATATTTTTCATTTTAAAAGGGTGTATTGATCATTAGCATTTAAAAAAAAAACATTTCCTTGAAATTTCAATTTTTTCTTTTACAAAGGAAAAAAGAAAATTGTTTGGATACATTTGGTAATAACTAGAATTATTATATAATAATAAAATGCTTGGTCTGGCCTTCTGTCCTAACTTGAAGTTGGCCTTTTCTGATTTCACGAGTTTTTTTTGAATAGTAATCTTATGACGTGTCAAATTTTGACAATTCTTTTTCTCATTTTTGCCAAAGTTGTATAATTGTGTTTCCAAATTTCGGAATAAGTTTCTTTAAAATTCCAAATTCGAAAATTCAATTCACGAAGTTGAAGTACACAACGTTTACCAACGAAATTTTTTTTAAAGTTGTATATTCATTCAAAAATTCTATACAATTACAAAAAATTTATGATGAGAAAAAAGATGTGCCAGGAAATTTCGTACAAGATAGTAATTTGAAAAAAATTTATTTTTAAGGTACCAGGGGCCAACGAATACCTATTAAATATTAATTATAAAAACACAGGCCTCGAATCAACTTAAAGACACAAAAAGTCGTTTTAGTAGATTTATATTCCAAAAAAAATGGATTTTTTTTTTATTTTAACAAAAATATTTTACAGATTTTTAAATAAAAAAAATTTTTTTTTTAATAATTATCCTTTTCGAAGGGTTAAAGTTGAAATTTTTAGAAATAATTAAGTTTCAAAAGATATTGTTAATTTTCAAAGAATTATTAAATTTTACAGAACTAAAAATAATTTATCAAACAATTTTTGGAAAACATTTTTTAAATTTAATTGAATTTTCAAAGATTTAAAATTGAGATTTTTGAAATTAATTGAAACTTTAAGTATTTTGTAATTAAAATTTTAGATGATTTCACTAAAAATTTATTAGAAAATGCGGACGAAATACAATAATTTAAAAATCATTTTTAATTGAAATATGGTTTCAGATAGTTGAATTTTCAAAGAATATTATTAAAATAGTTAAAAATAATTGAATTTCCTTAGAGTTATAATTGAAATTATTAAATTTCAAAAAAAAAATTTTCGATGGAAAAGTTTAGAAATAATAAAATTTTAGATATGCTTTTAAATTCAAATTATTGAAAATTCAATTAGTTTTGAATTCAAATTTTTGAGAATAATGAAATTTTATTTGATTTTAAATTTGGAAAATAATTGAATTTCTGTTCATTTTGAATTGAAAATTTTTGGCAAATAATTGAATTTTAATTGAAATTTTGGATAATAATTTAATTGAAGTTCATTTTTGTTTGAAAATTTGGATAATTAATTTTGAATAGAAATTTTAGAAAATAATTGAATTTTATTTCATTTTAAATTGAAAACTTGGTAAATAATTAAATTTTAAATTGAAAATTTTTGATAATTATTGGATTTTTAATTGATTTTCAATTAAAATTTCGGGTAATAATTGAATTTTAGTTTATTTTGAATTGAAATTTTTAAAAAATAATTCAATTTTATTGTGATATTTTTTTTTTAAATTATAAACAATTTTTAAATTTCATAAAAATTTTAATTTAAAGAAAATTTTTTTCAGCAAACTTAAAGAAAACTTGCAGCAAATTAATTTGCAATGTTAATTATTCGCAAAAATTAATATCGTGCGCAGTAGTTTTCTATGACATTTTAGGCTGCAAAATAGATTTTATAGTCTCCTATTCTCCGGGTAGGAAATCAAGTATACCGAAATATCAACATATTAAAATAATTTTTTTAAAAAAATTTTTCTGAATAATTTGCTGTAAGTTTTCTTCAAGTTTGCTATTTTTGCCGGGTATTGAAGAATTTCTTTATTTAACATAATTTCTATTTTACATGATTTTTATTTAACAAAAATTTTATTAAAGAAAATTTTTATTCTTACTAATTTTTATTTAAAAGAAATTTTCCTTAGCTGAATTTTTAAGTATAGAGAGAAATAAAATTCAGACAAGGAAAAGATCGATCAAAAGGTATTTTGGTAAAATAGAAATTCTCTAAATTAAAAATTCAACTAAATATAATTTCTGTTAAATGACAATTTTGTTAAATAAACTTAAAAAAAATTTATTCAATTAAAATGTAATCTGCTATTTGACAATTGTTATTATTTTAAAAAACATGTGTATTTACTATTAAATATTTATTATTTGAGTGAATTATAAACGATATTTGTTTGAAATACAGAAATTATTAATTTAAATATAATTTTTTGATTTAAGTAACAATTATTTTGGTTTAAATAAATATTTATTTATAGTCTAATTATTCGAAACTAAATAATTTTTTTTCATTGTACTTTATTTAGTAAAAATCAGATAAAAGTAGAATTTAAGATTTTGATGTTTAATAAATCACATAATAATATTATAAAATATGCTTCGTGTATTATCAAAACTATTGTAATTTAAATTATTCTTTTCAATTGTTTTTTTATAATATAATTTAATATTACGTTTTTTTATGCAGATCAAAAATATTTTTATTGAATTTATTTTAATTTAAAAAAAAATTTTTGAATTAAATTTTTTTTTTTTGAAAAAATTAAACATTCCTTAATCATATAATTAATATAGTAATGAAATTAATTTAATTATATAGATAAGAAATTTTTTTATTTAGACAAAAAAAAAATTCATAGTAAAACTGATTTGGAATTTCCTCGCGACAAGTTCAAGAGCATTCTTTCAACTATACCTAGAGGATACCTATACTATACCTATACTCATTTCCCCAACTTTGACCTGTTTGTGATGCACTTTGTTTGAAAATATTATAAATTAAAAAATTTATATACGAATTTTGTTGTTTTTTTTCTGTGATGAAAAATCACATACGTGAAATTAAAATATATTGCGCCCTATAATGAAATATTATAATTAACAAATGTCTAGCCGATTATATAAAAAAAAAAAAAAAAAAAAAAAAAAATTAAATGTAGGCCAGGAGGACAGCTGGTTGACACACACAGAACATAAGCACTTCCCATCGAGTCTTGCGCCATTGTTCCGTCATTATTCCAGTTAATTAATTATTAGTACGCGATGACGTAGTAATTGCCATACAAGAGAACTGACTGCGGGGTGTACAGGATGCGGGGGAGAAGGTTAGTCCAATTCAACGATGATCTGCTTATCGCGAGCTCTCTATTGTCACTATATACTATTTCAAGGTCCACCTCTGCTCTGATTATAACAAGTCTGGGAAATTTCAGCCCTTTCATCATTTTTTTTTTTTTTTTTTTTTTTTCCTTCTTACACACAATACTAATTATTTATTTTATAGTCTCGAATATTTTTTCGTTTATTAATCCTAATTATTATTTTTTATTTTTATTATTGCATAATTATAGATTTTTAATTTTAGTTAATAAAAAAAAATTTAAATAAACAAATTGACGACAAATAATATATTCAAAATTGAGAATTTTTTTTTTTTGAATCACATTTTAATTTTTACAAATTTTGTGGAATTATATTGAAACAATAGTCTCGAAACAATATAAAAGAATTTTTTTTAAATTATCGAAAAAAAAGGGAATAAAATATTTTTTACTTGACCATTAAATTTATGAATATTTTATTGCCGTTGTTGAAAAAAGAACAATATCAAAATTGATGGTCTCACTAAATTTATTAGCTATTAATTATTATTTTTTTTTTTTTCATAAAGAACACATTTTGATAAGATTATTTTTTTTAAATATATTTTTAAACAACTGGTATATATAATATTTATATATATATATATATTTATATATACACACAGGTATAAATACTAGATTACAATTTAAACTAATGTAATTTAACATTCATTTTTTCACACACTCTCAATCATATTACACACAATTATTTTCATTAGGTACAGAATGAAAGAAAATTTATTTAATTTAAATAAAAATTATTTAGTTCAAATAAATAAATTTTTTCTCACTGTTTTTTTTTTACGTAAATAATGAAAATTTTGATATACTCTTATATTGAAATATTTACAATCTCTTTTTTTAAAATTATTAAAGGCGAATATTTTCACATATTTCACGTTCACAGCCATTCGCAGTGATTTTGTCTTTTTTTTTATATAAATGTATTTTGTTTACAATGATAAATATAATTTTGTAAATAATAATTTTAAAATAACTTGTTATCTTCTTTAAATTGTATATATATATTTTCGTTATTTCAAATAATATTGATAATTATTATAATAATTTTAAAATAATTATTTGAATTAATTACTTTTTTTTATATAATTTACACAAAACTGAAATTAATTTACATAATAAATGGAAAATAATTTACAATACAAAATTTAAATTATTTTTTTTTTTTTTAAATCACAATTTGCGTAAAGTTTTAGATAATCAAGTTAAATAGCAAATTATTATTTTATTTTTATTATATTTTCCCTGTCTTATAATCAGATATATAAAAACTTATTATAAACTTGAGATTATTCATAATTATTCGTTGTTAATTAATTCTCAGAATCATTAAAAATTCGAAATACTTGAAACAAGTTTTAAATTTAAATTATAGCTCAATAACGTGGAATATTGATACATTTGAATTTGATTTACAGTCCTATATTATATATGTATATATATATATATTTATTTATTTATTTTTCTTTTACATTAAAATAAAATTTACATCTAATTTTCATTTTTATTTAATAATAATCACTATATTGCAAAATTTTCTTTTCAAAATTCTATAGAAATCTATATTTATAATTTATTTTATTAAATCAGTAAATAAAAATAAAAATGCAACGAAATTTAATTTTTCACTATGGGGCGAAAATTAAAAAAAAATTAAAAAAAAAAAAAAAAAAAAAGTAATGGAAAATGTATATTCTAAAAAAATTGCAAAATTATTTTCGATTTTTTGTGTATTTCTAAAAAAAATTAAATATACATTAAAATAACTAATTATTTTCTCCAAAATAATTAGTTATTTATTAATTAAAATAGCTTTAATTATTTTTGAAATTTAGAATAATAATAATAATAATAATAATAATAATTTTTAATAATTTCACAGACAAATAAAAATGAAAAATTTAATAAAAAAAAAAAAAAACATTAATTAAAAATGGAAAAATAAATTTTGTAGATAAAATCAAAAAACCAGTTTTCTTCATTGCCTTAAATAATTACAGAGCTGTAAGTGCGAATCACTGATAAAATTAAGTATCACCAAGCTCACGTGCTTCTTTCGTTCTGGGATACTTTTCAATTATAATAAATTCCAAAAAATAAAAAAAAAAAAACAAAAAAAATAGAAAAGAAATTAAAAGACAAAAAAAAATTAATAAATAAAATAAAAATATTATTCCTAAATGATTCTCATGGGAATAATTAATACTTTGCCGAGGGTAAGTGTATATTTGAGCAGTGGTTAATATTATGGCACTGACTAGTTAAAGTCTCATTTATCAACACGTTTACCTGTATGCAAATTATACTAAATAATTAATATATATAAAATTAATAATCAATTAATTCAACATAAAAATTTATATTAATTAATTTCCAATTTTTTTTTTTAATATTGAAATTAATTTATTAATTTAAATTAATTCTAAATTTTTTAATTAATTAATTAAAATTATATATGTATTAATTTGGTATAATTTATCATTTGTCTAGATAGAATTTTATTTGTTCAAAATAAAATTTAATTTTTAGCTGTTCAGGTACCTGTTGGTTTTAATTTTTTCCTTTTTGATTTGCCAAAAAAAAAAATTTTTTTTTATATTTATATAAAGTCTTTGATTTTATTTTTCTAAACGTCTTGATTTCCAGAAATAATCATTGGTGTCACAACGCTATTTAATAATGCGCCATTTTCACTTTCTTTGACATTTGGCTCTGTGTGAGAGGAAAAGTCTTTTGTAGTCACTATCAAATTTTGTTTTCTTGCTTCTTTCTTCTCTCGTTCGACCTGCGGGAAAAAAAATATCAAATTTTTTATTCCTTATACCTTTTATTTTCAAACAGAATTTAAATTAATATTTATGTTATTTATTATTTTTCAATTTATTACAAACGAACAGAAAATTGAGATTTAAGGAATTCCCCGACAAATAATTTTTAAATTTCCAGACGCAATCAGTGTTGCCAATATCAGAGGAAAATGTAAAAATCATTAGCGGGAATTATTTTAGAAACTTGTGTAGTTTTTTTTTTCATCGCTATTTTGTCTATGAAAGTAAATTTTAAAAATAAAAAAGCCAAAAAATAAATAAAGGAAATTAGATTTAAATATTTGCAAAATAATTCAAAAATTCCCAAACGCTGATGGCAACACTGATTCTGATAAATGGATAAACAGTGCTGCCATCACAATAATAATGTCGAAATGAAAATAATGGCTGTTATTATTAACACGAAGTTAATTATATAAATAAATAAGTGAACAAATAAAATTTTTGTTTTGTCAAATACAAAAAAAAAGAACTGCAACAATTTTCGAAGAGACTCACCTTGAACAATAGTCGAAGATAATGACAAGGGAAAACGACGCACTTGCCCTTGTCCTCCTCGGCATCGATGTAAACACCTCTCACGAGAATAGAATTACTGCAATTGAGAAGAACAAGAAAAATAAAACAACCAATGTGTGTGATCCAACATGAAAGTTCTTGATTCTCTGGAATAAGCCAAAGATCCAAAAGATTCCAAATTCCACGCCAAACATTGACAGTTGCCAAAAAACTCAAAAGAATAAAGGCGTCTGCTAGAACGAGCTTTGGAAAACCCTGCAGTCTCGCACAGGTATAACGCATCACAGGTTGTAGCAAAAATGCAATTGACACTAAGGTATATCCAATAATCTGTAAATTTAAATCCATTTATTTAAATCAATATCATTTCCGATACAACATAACCTCAAAATATCTTTAAATTCCAATTGTAGAAGCAAAAAAAAAAATTTTTTTTTAAGAATTTAAAAAAATTATTCTCTATATGAGAAGAATAATATTATTTAAATTAAAATTTAAAAACAATTTAATATATAATAGCTTATTTGAAATTAATAAAATTGTATTTTAATTAATTAAAAATTAATAATTTTATTTTAAAACTAAAATCGTTTACGAGGTTGAAAAAAGAAATCAAAAATCTAATTTTACTGAGAATATAAAATATTCCGTTCACCATGAACTATAAATTTTTTTTTTTTCAAATCAATTTTGCATATAAATTACATATAAAAGTCGTTGCACGTGGAATTATATTCGATTATTTTTCAATAATTCAATTGATTTTCCTCTTTATAAAATTCTTGAAAATATATTATGAAATTGAGAATTTTTAAATGAAATTTTTGTCGAAAGGTAATTAATATAAAATTTTGCAGTTTAATATTTTCTGAAATTCTAAATTTTTAAATGAGATTTTTGTCAAAAAACAAAATTTGCAATAATTTCTCAATAAATTTACGTTTAAAAAAATATTTAAAAGAAAAAAATGTTTTGTTCATTTTTTTTTTTATTGAAATATACTTACAAGAGAGCCCAGTGCAGATTGTTCTCTATTATCTGGAAAAAGATAAATATCAAGTAGGACCCAGACTCCTCTCCAAACGAACACCACAAGTGTTCCAACAATAATAACACTGAAGGCACAATCCAATATATACAACGACCAATCCCTCGAATTCTGTAACAATAAAATGTTAATTTTTAGTTTATTCTAAATCTTATTTTTTTAAAAATTTTCAATTTAAAGCTTCAAAATTGAGAAGGATTTTTTTTAAATTAATAAACGAAGCTGAAGTACGCAACGTTTATGATAAACAATTTTTAAAGAAATAATTTTTTAAAATGAAAAATTTTATAATTTTTTGCCTAAAAAATACTTTTTTAAAATTTGTTGATTAATAAAAATTACAAGAAATATTTTTTAGGCGAATTATACAATTTTTCATTTAAAAAAATTATTTCTTTAAAAATCGTTTATCATAAACGTTGCGTATTTCAGCTTCATATTAATAAAACGATTTTTTTTTGTTTTCAATAAAATATTGTCTGATTTAGTGGAAAAATTTTTGTAAAACAGAAATAATTTGTTTTTTAAAAATAAAATTTCTTTATTTAAAAAAAAACACTGTTTAAAGTTAAACAAATGTAATTTTAATAAAGAAAAAAAAATTGGTTTCATTATAAAATAAATTCGTTAAAATCAAATAAATATTTTTTTGACTACATATATATATATATATATATATATATTAATACTAGAATTTCTTTGATTTAATGAAATTGTTTCCTTAGTGATCCATAAAGAAAAAAAAAATAATTTTTTCAAGAAATTATTGCAATTATTGTTTTTAGAGAATTATGGAAATTCCCGTTCGCAACACTTTGAAGCGATACGATTTGATTATCGAAATCAGTGCTGGCAACTAACCAAATGAAAATTTGAATTGACTTGATAATTTAAACAAAATAAGCAGATACAAACTATATAATAACTTTTTATTATTTCAAATTTATTTCAATTTAAAAGATCTTCATATATAAATTTGTTAATTGTTTAAAAATTTAAAAAGTTAATTTCAAATTTTTAGACAATTATTTTTTTATATTACAATTTAAATTTGAAAGATAGGTATATGCGGAGAAATTTAATAAAAAATAAATATTACAATTTAAATTTTATTAATAAAATAAATAATTAAAAAATCATATAGGTAATTAAATGATTAAATAATTAATTAAATTATTAAATAAATAAATAAAATTAATATAATGAAAAAAAGTAAAATTATTCACTTAAAAAAAAAAAAAAAATGAAATATTTCTATTCCTCTGAAAATAGTAATAGTTTGATGAACTAATGACGATGATCGCTCATCTCAGTATATTTTAGACTTGATAGTTTATAATAATTTGTTATCAGAAATATAGGTAGGCCAGTGATTCACAATTTTTTACGGAAACATAAACTTTTCCTCTTTTCTCACTTTGATAGCGTTATTTATTAATTGTTTTCTTAAGCTTTAATGTGTCACACAAAGATAATTTAAAATATTTTTTATTATCTTTCAAATTCAACGTTAATTTCCTTTCATTATAATCACATGAGAAAATTGTATTTCTATACAAATTTATTGTATTTATTTTTCTTTTAAATACTGAAAAAAAAATTAGGATTTAAAAATTTTTTATAAAACATTTTTAAACATTTAGATATTTAGAAAAGGTAAATATTTATAACAAAAAATTCTTTTACTCTAAAATATTATTTTAAATAATTTTTTTTTGTTTTAAAAATTCAGATTATTATTTTTCATTAATTTTATTTGAAAAAATAATTTTCATTTTACAATTTCATTTATTAATTTTAAAATTGTTTTTATTTATTTGTTTATATTTTAAAAAATTAATTTTTTTTTAAAGTGAGTCATGGATAATAATTGGTTTCTAATTTAATATCAACTCTATTTGACGAGGTAATGACTCGCGAATTGGTATAGTCAATTTTTTAGTTAACGCACCATTTCTTGATGATTTGATCGTAAGTTTGTAAATAGGTTAGTTTAATTTTCATAAAATTTTAAATGCATTATAATTGCAAACGGTTCGTCAGGTATTAATTACTATTTCGCATTAATAACAAAAATAATAAATAAAATTATTTTCAAATTTTTAGTATAAAATGAAAATTGCTATACACTACCCTTATGTAATTTATTTTAATTAAATTTTTTCTTTATTTATCTATTAAATAATTTTGAAAAAAATATTATTTATAATGAGTTTAATAAACGATTAAAAAAATACAAAAAAAAAAAAAAATGGCAACGTAAAAAAAGAAAATTTATACCTTTGTTTCAAAATGATTGATGACGCAAAAAGAGATCTGAATAACGTGTGATAATGTTATTCACAAATACATTGGTATCAATTTTAAAACCTGCAGAATACAATTATTATTCTCATTCAAAACTTGTTGGCAACATTTGTAATTAGTATTTTTTTTCTTCAAAACATTATTTTTTTTTTTATCTTCAAACAATAAATGTTGCTGCAACTTGATTGTTAACAAATATGAAAACAGGATATTTTTTTTTTCTAATTACTTTACAGGAAATTCGTTTAATTTTCTATTTAAATTACATATTGCGGAAGTTTTAATTTAAAAACTTTCATTACATTCAGTAATTTGATAAGCATATTATTAAAAAAAAATATAATAAATCCAATTTGTTTGCCAAAATTTTTAACAATTCGAATTTAAAAATTAGACACAATTTCTATATATTATAAATAAATTTTGTTTATTGTAGATTCTCCAGTTGGCGGAATTTATATTTAATTTAATTTTTTTTTTCCAAATTTTCATTAAAGGCAATTTTTATAAAACAATTTACAATTAACAGAATTTTTATTTTATTTTCATTGAGAGTTTTTTTTTAAACATTATTATTTTTACTTGAATTAATTTTAACTGAATTTTCATTAAAAATTTACATTTTACAGAATTTTTGTTTGATCGAAGTTTTATTTAGCTGAATTTTCATTAAACAATTTTATTTCGCTCAATGTTCATATACAATAATTATTTGTTGAAAATAGCAAAAATAAATTTAAAAAAATTCTGTAATTGAAAATTTGATTCAAAATTTTTTGATAAATTAAAAATATATATTTTTTTTAACAGCAGATAAAATTGTGAAACATTGAAACTATTTATTAATTTAAATGATATCGTGAATTTGAAAAAAAAACAAAATAAATAAATACACACTCTGTATATTAAAAAAAAAAAAAAAAATTTCTATTTTTTAGAAACTCACATTTGCCCGGAACATTGTGGGCACCTCGAAGTAGCCAACGCACGAGTCCAAACTAAGGGAAAAAGGTGGCGCGGCAATATTTCTGATGGCCCTCATTATTGCCAATGCAAGAATACTGACCGAAGTGGTTGCAAATACCGTACTCGCTGACATGTCAGTGAAAAGATCAAGGGCCTGCCAAGGACCACGCCACGCATTAACACAACAAAATCCAAAGAGATATGTATATAAACGTGAGCCAAAATAATAACACAAACGATGTTTATCGGGATGAAGAAAATGATCGAGAAAATTTTGTAATAAATTAAATATAAACAATCCAATGAAACCAATTGCAATTGATGTTAATGCACTGGAAACAATATCGTTTCCATAAATATATTGATGACTCAAATGCCATGTACCACGCCAATAACCAACCACTGCAGGTGTTGCAACACCAGCCGAAAAAATTGAATCCAAAATTGCAAGAATCGCATAATAAACACGAGACGATGAACTTCTGTCTAAAGCACTCGCCATACCGGCACCACCACAAAGTTCAACCATTCTTTGTAATTTTATTTTTTTCGTTTTTTTTTTTTTATCCAACTACTCGCACTTTTGATAACTATTCATTATTCACTAGGTGCCGAATTCTCGCAGGCGATGATACTCGGACATTTTCTTCATCGGCACATTTATTGTTCACTCATTTTCAAAGGCCAGAAAATAAATCGAAGCTATGTAAAAATTAAAAAGGAAGTTATGTCAAAATCGATTATTCCAAGGTAATAATTTTTATTTCTCATTCTTTGGATTCATTTATCTATATTTTTTTTCCAAATTCAAGAAAAAAAGATCTCTGACCATAATAGAATGAAAATTTTCAATCCGATTTAAGTTATTTTATTTTTTTTCAAGAAAAAATATTGGAATTTAAAAAATTTTGAAATATCACTTTTTTTTGTACTCGATTCCAACTGCCGAGGGAGAATTTTGTATACAAATGGAAACACACAATATAAATGAAAAATGTAAAGAATCGCGTCGCGAAAAAATTGGAGGGTAATGTGTATGTTTTTTTTTTTTTTTTTTTTGAAATTTTTGATTAAACGACAGGTCGAACAGCGGATGAGTACTGAGTCTCGCAAGAGCAACGACTATCTTTTATCAACTGATGAGTAGAGCCAACACCATCTCATAATCGCATCATCACAATCATCGACATCATCATTGTGTTGAGTACCAGTGAATACAGGAGTGACCCTACTCCAGACCTCAACATATATTTCTATTTTTTTTTTTTTTCAACTCCCTCCCACGTGTAATAATCAGACCAACTATACTGCACGCCCGCAGTTGATTGGATTGTTGGATTAAGAGGTATGTTCCTACAGTGATGATTATTTAATTCACTTTGATTCCGTGGATTTATGAAAATGAAAAAAAAAAAATTCTTGACACAAACAAATATTAAGAAAAACTTTCTTTTTACATTTTGTTTCGATTTTAAAGGAAAATTTCATTTTTTGTATTTTCAAAAAAAAAGAGATTATTTGGGGATAAATAAGCACTAAATTTATTTTTTTTTTTTAGGGTTCTGTACTCGGTTCGGAATCCTATTAATATCGGTTTTTTTGAAATCGTGTACCCCCCCCCCCCTCCCTAGCGGCAACACGAATTTATCTGGAGGGCTGAAATTTGGTACACATATGTATTTTCGCGTGTAGATTACAGGAAAAATATAGCGAACTTGATTGGAATTGATTATCATAGCGTTGTCAAGGAAAAACCATGAATTTTTACGAAAAATCCCTAAAAATGACTATGTACCCCCCCCCCCCTAGCAGCCACATTTTTTAACATAGAGAGCTCAAATTTGGTACACTTATGTATTTTTACGTGAAAATTACAGGAAAAATAAAGCGAACTTGATTCGGATCGATTTACATACACTGAAAAAAGGGTTTGGTATTGACAACCAAACGTTTGGTTGGTATTTAAGCAACGAAATTTTTTTTGTTGAATCAACCAAATTTTAATTGTCTCAATCAAAATTTGTTTGACACAACCAAAATTAGAAAAAAAAGGATTTTTGTTGTCCTAACTAAAGTTTGATTGGGACAACCAAAATTTTGTTGATTCTACAAAAAAATTTTGGTTGCTTAAATACCAACCAAATGTTTGGTTGTTAATACCAAACCTTTTTTTCAATGTAGCTTTGGCAAGGAAAAATCAAAAATTTCGAAAAAAAATGGTTTAATCTCCCTAGCGCACACAATATTCAACCCAGACTGTTCATATTTTTTCTGTATAAATCTATTTTTTACGTGAAAATTATAGGTAAAAAATGTAAGCACGATTGGAGTTGATGATCAATTTTTATCAAATTTTTAAAGAAAAATGATAATTTTAAGGCAAATATGTATTTTCCAAAAAAAACGAAAAAAGATTATATCAAGTGATTCAAATTTATACATTTTGACGTATTTTTATGTGTATATAACACAAAAAATATAGCGAGGATAATTGGAGTTGAATTTTTAGGTACTGTCAAGAAAAAACTGATAATTTTAGAAAAAATCATAAATTTTCTCCCAATAACGAAAAAAATTTTATTTAAAGGGCTTCAAATTTATTATTTTCACGTATTTTTATGTGTAGATTATAGAAATAATTTAATAAACATGATAAGAAGTGGAAATATTTCTTCAGTCGTTACAACTGTAAAATAAAAAAAATCGGGCAAATGCGAGTTACACTCGCACTGAAATCGAGGGTTCCGTACTCGAAGCGAACTTATTTGGTATAAAAACAAGTGTTTAAAAAATATTTGTTGTATGTCAAATAAAATAAGTGATACAAAAAGGAACAATTTTGTAAAATTCAAGAAAATTGTTCCTGTTCGTATCACTTATATTATTTGTCATACAACACATATTTTTTTAAACATTTGTTTCTATACCAAATAAGTTCGCTTTGAGTACGGAACCCTCGATTTCAGTGCGAGTGTAACTCGCACTTGACCGATTTTTTTTTTTTAGAATTATTATTTAGTAGAATTTTATTCCATGGAATATTATTTCTGCAGAATATAGTAATTTAAAAGAATCTTAATTTTTAATTTTAATTTTGCATAAATGATTAAAAATCAATTTAACAGAACTAATTTTATGCTAAATTTAAGATGAGGGACCAGTGAAATTTTAATTGATTGAAATAAATGTTGTTAAGTAGTGTCAATTTTTTTCTCTTGCATTATTTGGGATCTAAAATTATTATGTATTATTAAAATTAAAAAAATTTTTTTTTTTTTTTACTATTTTAGTACCTACTTAATTTTATATTTTCAAAATCCATACGATTGATTCTTCAGAATCATGAAAAAAAAGGTATATAAAAAATCTGCAATGAAAAATAATAGAAATTTTGAAAAAACATAAGACATTTAAGTATATTTTGTTTTTAATTTAAAATAATAATAATTTTTAATTACTTTATCGTAGTTCAATTAAATTTTCCCTTTCTTTTTTTTTAAATTAAGTACATCAATCACATTCTTTCAGTGCAACTAAATTTTTTTTTTTTTTTTTTTTAATAAAAATTTTAAAATATAAAATTTTTTACAAAAATAATCGACAACAAAAAATTATTTTTACAAAATATTAGAATTTTTGAAAAATAGACTGCTAATTTATGTATCAATAATACGAAAGAAAAAAAATTGAAAAAAAGAAGAAAAAAAAGTTTCTTTTCTGGAGAGGAAGGAAGTCGTTTTTGGCTTGCATTGAGTAATAATGATTCCTTCTTTTGAGAGGAGAGAAGCAAAAAAAAATGTTTTGTTTTATATCGAGTCTATACGATTTATTCAGAAGAACATCAGTCAATGTTGATTGACGAAATAGAAAAGCATTTCTTTTCTAAAACGAAAGGAAATCGTTTTTTGCTTACATTGAGTCATAATAATTGAAAAATGAAAAAATTAAAAATCTCTTAGATTATAAAAAATAATTGATAAAAATTGTATCCTTAATTTTTTTTTTCAAGTTACTTTCGGAAGACTAAATTTGGGTGCCAGTCCTGTCATTACCAAACGAATAAAAAAAAAAAAAAAAATAGACTAAAATAATCATAAATTAAAAATAGAATCAAATTAATTTTCTTCCGGAAATAATAAATGGCAGCTCAATCCAATAGATGGATAATAGTAGAGGGGGTGATTCGTTTCTTTTAATTTATTATTTAAAGAAAATAAACAATCAATATTTAATTCATATAAAAAAATTTAAAAAATAATTTTAATATTTGAATTTTGAGGTTAACAATTTGATGCAACTAAATTAAATAAAACTTATTCTATAAAGAATAATAATTCTACATTCGAGATAAGACACACACAAAAAAATAGGGTTTAATTATAATTAAAACATTTTTAAATTTTGATTTTAAATATAGTTCAAAATAGAAGAAAATTAAGAAAGATTATTTTTAGTGAAATTAACAAAATTTACCAGGATAAATCCTATGAAAGTTGATTGGAACGAATTTTCCTTTTTTTTATATTAATTTGTTTTTAAATTATTTCCAAATTGGCTTCAAATCATTTTCAAATTAATTATAAATTGATCCATATATAATCACAAATTAGTCACAAAATTAATTAACATTAAATTAATTTTTAAATATTCACAAAATTTATTAATTGAATAGTAATTAATTTCAAAAATTAGAAAAATTGTCACGTCTATTAATAGAAAATTAAAAGGCATTAAATTAAGCTGCAACGCTTATTATTTTAATCCAATTTTGCTTATTTTAATCCATTTTGGTATTAAAATAAGCAAAATTGGATTAAAATAATGAGCGTTGCAGCTTATTTTAATGCCTTTTAATTTTCTGTGTTACTTATTATCAATGATTTTACTTTCTAGAATGAAAAAATGATTTTGTTTATTAATCTCTAAGGAAAATTTGTTGCCAACCAAAAAAATGAAAAATGAATGTTAACAATTGAATCCCTACATAAATTCGCGTTTATTGTTGGTTAATAATAAAAATCTTCTTCTCTTAAATGATGATGAAATTAAATGAATTGAAAGAAAAAGGAAATGTTAAATCGTCATAACGCTCCTCCAATATAATTTTTTTGACATATACAAATATTATTACTGAGACTTCAAAGAACATTCTTAAATCCAGATTTATATAATTTTGATGAATTAAACAAATTAAATGGGCTTTGTCTTCCACGCAGCAATTAAGAGTTTCGAGCGATAGCTCAAAAGTATGACGAAACCTTCCAAGATTGAATAAATTTAGAAATTGTTATTGTAAAATTCATAATAATCCAATATTTTCTTGGATACAATCATAGAGTCCAACAATCAAATTAGTAAGGTTAATAATAAATAGAATAATTTTCTTAAATCTCGAAATCTTCATATTTCTTCGACTCGAACGAAATTACATAAAAAATTTTTAAAAAAGCGATTTACATAGATTATTTATTATTAAAAAAAAGTTGTGTCTTTATCTCGAATTTTTGTGAAATCATTGAAGTAAATCAGACCAGAATAAATGACAAATTTAGAAAATTTAAAAAGAAATTAAAAATTGATCAAAATAAACAATTAATGTGACAAAATCAAATTTATATTTGTAAATTGTAAAATTATCAATTTTAAAATGTTACAAAATATATCATGAAAAAAATTAAAAGCAATATTTTCATTTGAAAAAAAAATATATATATTCTCAAATCTCAGAATGAGTATATAAATAAATTCGTAAAACGTTTTTTAGAGGACAATTTGAATCGTCCTAAGGTCAATTTAGGGGATTTTTCTTCTTCCTCTTTCACTTGATAAAGAGTGAATAAAGAAAAGAAAAAGAACAAATGCATCTTTAATGATCGTTCAGACTGACATGAGTGTGTGTCATTATATATATATATATAGTGATTTTGATATTAAACACGTGCCACCTTGAGACATGATTTTTTCTGAGTGGCGTTTCCTGCCCGGTGCGGTAAATTCACCGGGTTTTTGTCGCGACCAAACTCACAATGTTATAATCGGCACCTTTTTGTGTCTCAATCAAGCTTCGGTTTCAAAGCAATCTTCTCACCTTGGCTCGACTATTTTGTCCCCGCGCATTCAATTTTATTAGATCAAATGATACAATATATCTCCCAGAGGTGGAACATAAGGGTTTTATTGCATAATCCCGCAAATTCTCCCTTAATGTATATAATATTAGAAGAGAGACTGCGAATAAATGACAATTGTGTCGCATCAGAAAATTTATCTACATTAGGAATCATTTGACAATTCAAATTTTACACTCAACGAAAATGACTCTTTCCAATTTAGACACTTGAAATTTCAATTAAGTCCGATTGAGAATATATTTTGAAAATTATTTTCGAAATATCTTATAGAAAGCAATTTTTACGAAAATAGATATTCTTTTTATAAAATATAGGGTAAGTGTACCAGTTACCGATGGTGCAACAATTGTCGATGGTCGTAATTTTCTTTTTCCGATAAATAGTATATATATTGTAGAAAATTTAAAAACCAAAATAATTTGTAAATTAACCTCATATTTACAATTACATTTATTTTCCTCATTAAATTTCATATCGATGGCACTATAATAATTATTCTTTTATAATTATAATTCACTGCTGTCAAATTTACTCGATTCGACATTTTCTTAATACTGTATTAAGTTTTTATATAAATATATTTGTTAAAATAAATTTTTTATATTTTTTAAAAGCAAATCATCGGTATCTGATTTCATATTTTATCTCAGCTCCATTTTTTGAGGTATTGACTCGAAAATTAGTGCAGTCAGTTTTTTAGCTGATGTATACCATTTGTCGATGCTTCGAACGAAAAAAAAATGCAAAATAAAGTTGGTTAAGTTTTTGTTTATAAAACGTCAGTGATGCAAAACTTTTATAGGTTAGTTATTTTTTATGTATAAACTATAAACTTACAGTTAAATAAGTAAAATTGTCTCATGCCAATGTTTTATAATATTTTTATTTAAAAAAAAAATATTCGATTTTGTAAATACTGGTAAAGGTTAATTCATTAATTGTTAAAAAAATTCAATACCATCGAAAATTGGAACCGAACATCGAGAAATTGGTACACGACCATCGACAAATGGTGATTTTGCTCAATTTACATTTAAAAACAATTTTTATCTAAAATTATAATTTATTTTAGAAAAATAAATAGGAATATTAAACACACAGGCCTACAAATTTTAGACCCAGAAACCGGTTTAGTCATTTCCGATGTAATTTATCACGCTAAATCCAAAAATGACAAGCAAATTGCTCTATCACGTCAGCATTTTGAGATATTCTAACCTAAAAGTGTAAAAAATGCCGTTTTTGGCAATATTTGATACTCTATAAAATCGACAAAATTTTTGTTTAATCATTCGTCCAAATTTCAAAAGAAAGTATTATATTTCCCCTTTCAAAATTTTCATGGCTTGATCTGATTCAATTTTTTTTCTCTGAGATACAGCCATTTGCGTTTTACATTGCATGCGAACTAAAATCCCTTTAAAAAAGAAAAATAAATTGCAAAGTACTCATGGCACTGAAAATTGTTACTCAGGGGGTTTTAAAATCGCTAATTACGAATGTGATATCAGATTAAAAAATCTGACATTCAATTCGTAATCAGCGACCCTAAAAACCCCCCAGTAATGAATAACAAGCGAATTCGGTAAATTTTTTAAAAAGTGTCCGCCATATGGGATCCGACATTTTGAAATTCAAAAATCTGACGTCAGATTCGTAATTAGCGACCTCAAAAATCCCCGAGAAATAAGTTGCAGTGATATGAGTACTTTGGAATTTAGTTTTCTTTTTGAAAGGGATTTTAGTTCATGTAATGTAAAACTTAAATGATTGTATCTCAGAGAAAAGAAATTGGATCATATCGATCCTAGAAAATTTTGAAAGGAGAAATATAATACTTTCTTTTGAAATTTGGGCCAATGATTAAAAAAATTTTTTGTCGATTTTATAGAGTGTCAAATATTACCAAAAACTTCATTTTTCACGCTTTTAGGTTAGAATATCTCAAAATGCTGACGTGATAGAGTAATTTTCGTGTCATTTTTGGATTCAGCGTGACAAAGTACATCAAAAATGACTATTTCGGTTTCTGGGTCTGACAAAATCCAAAATTTTGTAGGCCTGTGACATTATTAAATTCTTCGTCCAACTGCACAAAATTCAAATTTCTAAGTAAATTTACTCCTGAGAAAAAAAATATCAAAGTTACATGTTGTCTAAAATCATCGACAATTGGTACACCTATCCTATCAATTTTTCAAAATTTTCGAAATAATTTTTTTTTAAATTATTGTTACATAAAAATTACAATTATCTAAAAGTAATTAAAATTGTATTTAGAGTAAAATGACGACGTGGAAAAGTAAATTGACTACGAGTTTTCTAGAAATTAAATCATTTTGCAATAGAAATTCAAATATTGACTGAAATTGTTTGCGTATTTTTGTGGATAAATATTGTTCTATTTTCTTGTGTTAAGAAATAAATGACTGAAAAGCAATTTCTCGTGGTGGGATGCGATATAATCAGATAATAATATAAAGAACCAACATCATTTAGACGCCAATCTTTGTCGCTACAAAATAATATTATTTCATTATCAGATAAATATAATTGGCCTCGCGATCGTCAGAAAATTTCATTAACATTGGGATTTTCAAATTTATTTCGTATTCAATAAAGTCAAATGGAATAAAGAATAATTAAACGAAAAAAAAAACAACTAATAAATTACATTTCAAAGATAAGACTGAAAATTAAATATTATTTGAACAAATTAGGAGAAAATTTAAAAAGAAAAATTAATTTTATAATTTCTTGACATCGAGACGATAATTTTTATGTGAATGAAAAAAAATTAAAATTAATTTTCCTTTCTGAATGAGAAAAAAAAATTAAAATTTCTTACCGTTTTGAATCGAGTGTTAAATTTGAAGCTATATTTCGGTGTGTCGAGAACAATAATAAGTGGAACCGCCAATAGATTAAAAAGCGATTTCAATGCAATTAATTCTTTGAGACAAACTCCAAGGAAAAGTAATATAAATCTGAAAAATATAACATAATTAGAATTTTAATAATAATTTTTTAAAATATATTAAATTAAAAAATTATTTTAAAAGTGTGAAAAAAATCGAATTATAAGTGCAAAAGAAGAAAACAGAAAATAAATATGTATCAAGATTTCAAAAAAGAAATTAATTAATTTCATTTGTTTATTTATAATTTTATTTTTTAATCTCACCCTAAATTTTGGCCAAAAAAATAATCATAATAAAACCAACAACCACGCCAATGGGTTATGCATGCAAATCCAAAAAAATAGGTGTAAATTCGTCCAATTATACGGGTAAAAATTCGATAGAAAATATTTTTTGTTTTAATATTTTCGGCAAATTTTGAATGCAATAAATGTTTTAGTACAGAAAAGAAGATGTGTAGAAATATTCCAATGACAATATTTCCCCAAGCTGGAAATCGTATAAACAAAAAGAGAATAGTAAATATATTATAAATATCATATTTTTATTTTTTTGTATTTATTTGTATTATTTTACTTTTCAAATTCAACTTCATCCACAATTTCTATTATTTTTCATTGGCAATTTTTTTATATACTTTTTTTTATGGTTCTAAAAAATAAATCGTATAGGTTTTTAAAATTTTCATTTTTTTTTTTTTTTTAATACAAATTCTAAAATTAACAGAAATGTAATTTTTTCAAATTTCAATAATTTATGAATAATTTTAGATTTTAAATAATGCTTGGAAAAAAAATTGTCATAAATTTTGAAAGTTTAAAATTTCACTTGTCCCTCCGCTTAAAAAAGAAAGAAAAACTTATTTTCTTCTTGAAGATTCAATAAATTCCAAAGACTACACCAAAATCCAATACACACGGGACCAATAACAAAAATTGCAATCACAGAATCAAATATTGAGAAAATTTGATTTTTCCTTAATTTCCATTTTCTTTTTTGCGGTTCGTTCAAATTTTTCTTCTTTTCACTTCCGACAACTTTCGTCGATTCATTCTGTTGAGGTTTAAAAAATTATTATTATTATTATTGTTTTCACTAATTATTAAATTTTTTTAAAATTATTTTAATCGAAAATAGCCAAGAATTTCAATTAAACGGAATGTAATCAGAAATTCTTTGACAAACTGAATTTTTATTTAATCGAATTTCTTCTTACGTATATATAAATTTTTATTTATCTAAACTTTCACAAAATTTATATTTAATAATAAAAATTTTATTTAGATAAATTTTAGTGATAAATTTTAATGAAACACAATATTTACTAAAACGAATTATATTATCATTTAGAAAAAATTTTAATTAGAGAATTTCTATTTAATCCAATGTAAAAAAATTTTCCACTTTTATATTTAATGAAAATTCAGTTAAATAAAAACTAAAATGAATATTCAAATTCAATTAAATAAAAATGTGGTTTTATAGAAATTTCTTTCGAATAATTTCGTTAAATAAAAATTCAGTAAAATTAAATAATACATAAATTTAAAAAAAAACTTCTTCAATCACTTTGAATTAAAAAAAAAATATTCATTTCGACAATTTTTAAGAAAAGATAATAAAATTATATTTAAAAAAATAACATTGATTTAATAAAAATTAAAATATCAAAAAGGATACTTTAATATTTTTATGTAAAACATTTTTTTTTACAACATACCTCTAAATTATTTTTCTTAACAACAACACTATTTAAATTGACGACCAAATTATCTTCTAAATCACTTTTTTCATTGAAAACATCTTTACATTCCTTTTGGTGATTTTCATCTCTTTTTGAATAATTAAAATTTTTAGAATTCTTTTTCCATTTTTCTAAATTATTCACCTCTGTCAATGATTTTTCATTTTCTGTTATTTCTTTTTTTTTGAAATTTTCCAATTCTTGATTCATTATACGGTCACATTAGTTGAAGAAAAATCTTTTTTCATTTATTATTATTATTTAGATATTTTCAATATTTTATAATTTAGACAGGAAAATGTGTCGAGAAAAATATAAATTAATTTTAGCAAAATGTTTTAAAAAATTTAGTTTTTTGTTATAATTTTTAAAACTTCACACTACTGACAATTATAAATCTCAAAAGTTATAATAAATTTCTATTAAATCGTCACCGATCAAAGTACGTGTCGTAAAAACGATATTGCGAATTGTTGATAAAAAAAACCAGTTAAACTGTCGTTACAGTTTAAAAGAAACTAGTGAAAAAATAAAAATGTCTATTTTTTTTTTAAGAACAAATAACGTTTTTTTTTTTTAAAAAAATATTTAACATAATTATTACAATTTGCGCGACTTAAGATCTATTTTCATTTTCAATTTAGAATTTACAAAAACAAATTGCACAGGAATGCAAATAAAATTTGAAACAGGAAAAAATGTTATTGATTTCAGTTTATATATTTACAGTTTTTTTTTTTTTTTTTTTATTTTTTTTTCTTGTGTTTCGACAGAATAAAATTCTTGCTACTTAAACATCAACGCGAATACAATAATTTTTTTGCTCGATGTATCCTTAAGAATTTTCTATTTATATTTATATATAAATAAAAAATATATTTTCAAAGATGTCAAATGTAAAACTTGCTTACAATCTACATAAAAGGGTATTTTAAAATTTTTTGATTTTTTAAAAAAAAAGTCTTTCGACTTGCAATAATATTTTCCTTTCGCACTCTTTTTCTTTTTAATTATTATTATTATTATTTAATAATTATCTAGCTTCACTATCTTTCCAATTAGTAATTTCTAAATTAATTATTCAGCGAATATATTTTTTTTGAAGGAAAAATAAAAATTTTATATAATGTAAATAAAAAACAATTTTTAGTTTTTTTACATAACAAAAACAATTTGAGAGATTAATAATTTAATCAAATTTTTAAGTTAAATAAAAAAAAATAATTACCATTTTTTTTTGCCCTTTTGAATTTTAAAACAAATTTTTAAAAATTTTACAGTTAATGAAAAAATAATTTTTTAACTTTTTTTTTCTTTGCCTGAGTGCGAGAGGTTTTTTGACAAAATATATTATATATACAAAGCTCGTTAGATCTATAACTTTCTTGCAGAGTTTTTTTCCCCGTGTTATTTATATGTTTTTTTTTTTTTCAATTTCGTTGATTCACAATAAATTTTTTTCTCGCATGAAACAATCTGCACGATCACAGCGATTTTATATAATTTACAGGCGGTATAAATGCATTGAAGACACTCTTCGTTCTATAGTTGTTTTCAAAATAATTTGTCATTTTTAAACAAATTATTTTGTTTGAATGCGCGTCAAATGTATGCTAATTATTATCACATATTTTATCTAATATAAATTAAATCATTGCGTTTTTTTTAGTTCAGTTGAAATTAATTATTTTGCCTTATTTAAATTTGTATACAAACTACCATTTTACCAATCAAAGAGTTTGTATATTTAAAAATTCAGCAATAACAAAAAAAAAAAATTTTCGCGATTTCATGAAAAGCGAAAAGAAAAAAAAGTGTGTGTGTATGTGTAACTGTCGAGACGTAGATTTTCCAATAATATTTTTAAAATAAAAACAAATATATATTTACTTTAATATTTTGCACTTGTTAGTTTTTTCACATTACGAAAAAATTTCTTACAAAAAAAAATTTGTTTCAATGAAAATAAATTATTGAATTGAATTTGTATATTTTTCATAATTATATATAATAATTTTACAAAAATAATTTTGAATTCAAAGTCAATTTAGACAAAAAATAAAAATGAATTTTAGATTAAAATATTACATTTTTTTTTTATGTTGGTTTTTTCATTATTATATTTTCAAGTATAATATAGTATGCATATTTTATATATTTATTCTACTTTTTCCATAGAAATATGGACAAAATGTATATAATTAAAATCAAATAATTTCCAAGTGGTTGTACATTTTCAAAAAAATACGTATTTTTAACTAATTTTTTTTAAATTTGAAAAATTCAAGTAAAATGTAAATTGATTTTTTTTTAAACAAAAAGATGGAAAATTTTCATATATTTTTTTTCCCGTATGAAAATCTTTTTTATCAAAAACTTTAACCAATTAATTAATTATCAAAAAGAAATTTTTCATTGTCACACTTAATATATTAATTTTAATAAAGAAAAATATTTCGAAAATGTGTCCACTTGAATATTAATGGCTTAATTAAAAAAAAGGACGGTTTGATTAAAAGTAGATGATATATTTTTGTAAATAAAAAAAAATTAATTTAAATGCAATATTAAAAATTCATTAAGGACGTTCGATTTTAATTATTTTAAATAAAAATAAAATTCCAATTTTAAAAAAATATAAAACTTTCAAATTTTTATAATTAATTCAACAATAATGTTTCTTTTTTTTTTTTTTTTTTTGCTAATTTTCCCAATTTTAACAAAATTAAAACACAATTAATTATTTTTATAATTTAATAAATTAATTTTTGTTTATTTGTTAAAAATTAAGATGATAAATTTTTCAAAATCTCTACCAATTATCATCGTCCCTTAATGACGAGAATATTTCAAATATTTTAAATATACAGAAAGTATTGAATTCTCTTTTTTTCTTAAATTTTTAATATTAAAATTGTTTTAAGCGATTTATGTGCATTTTTATACGAAGATTTTTAATAATAATAATAAAATAATGTTAAATATGAAAAACCTTAATACTCTATTATTGTACTGAAAATTTTGTTTATAATAGTTATTCATGCATATATTTTGTTTTCTTTAAATAAATTATTCTTGACTAGATATACTAAGCGTTATTAATTGGCTATTTAAGTACTTAATGAACCATTAATTGATAAAAATTCAAAAAAATACCATACGATTAAAAAATTTATCCTTATTTTGAGGGATTTGAAATTTATTTTTATTCAAATAAATCCAATTGATTCTCGATAAATTAAAATTCTAATGGTTTAATATTTTTCAACTGCGAGTTTTGTTTAGCAAAATTATTATTTTTAATTATCGATTATAGAAAAGGGGAAAAATTATATTAAAAAAAAAAAAAATCATCGATAATAATAGAAACAAATTTTGTTTATTGAATTTAATTTCCTTTTGCTAAAAAAAAAAATATTTATGAAAAGTATTTTTTTAAAATAAAAATTAAACTTTTTGATTTTAATTATCGAGAATCAACTTTTATTGAAACAGACATTTGTATTTAAATGAAGAAGAGAATTTATGAAAAAAAATATCAAAATTCTAAGCACAATATATTTTGTATAATTTATATACGTGTATATATATATATATTAATATAATAATAATCATGGCACTGATATCTCACCATTTTAATTGCGACATCGTGAGCAACGAAATTGCAGTATATTATAATAATTTAATATAAACATTATTTAGCTCTTATAAAATTTTTTCTCTCTCAAAAACATTTATAATAGAAAGCTACTATTTATCCTTTTTCTTTTTAATTAAAATCTATAAATATTTATCAATTATAACAATTTTTTACGAGACTATTCTCTTAAAATCAAGAGAATAATAATTATTTTCATAAGAAAATTAAATGTAAATTATAAATTAACGTTCATTATAATCACAATATTTAGAACTATTTTTGTCTTAATAATTTTATAATATTAATGACGTACAAACATTTTGGTATTCGTATATATATAGAGAGAGTAAAATTCATAAATTTTTCTCTCCTCTTTTATGTGATAATTGCATTAATTTTAAAAAGATTTAAAACAGAGCTGTTTCACTTACAATTAATTATAATATGTAATTTAAATATTATTTTGTTTATTGTATTTTAATTGTTGTGTTATTAAATTTATTTAGCTTTTTTCAAATTCTGTATCAAATTTGTATTTAGTTTTTTTTATTACTGTATTTTTAAATTTAATTTAATTTAAATTAATTTAATTTTTTTTTATTTGAATTTACTTAATGACATAACATTTTTAATTATTTGCATAGGTAAACTGATTTTAATTTATTTGAATTTATTTTTATTGTTTAATTATATTTTAAAAGTTTAATTTAAAATTTTATATTTAATTTGATTAGTTAGAATAATATTCATCAATTTGCTTAAAGTTAAAATTATTCGTTTTTAATTATAATAATTGGTAAAATTCTTAAATCTTGGACGTTAAGTTTTTTGATTTTATAAGTTTTTACTGAAACAAATTTATTTTCTTTTGATTTAAAGAAATAAACATATTTAGAAACCTGATTTTTACGGACGTTTTGAAATTTTAATACTGGCAGTAAAAAGGCATTTTTTTCCCCTCTCATTTTCTGTAATTCTTAGATCAATATTAAAAAAAAAAGTCAACCAATAATAAATTTTTTTGTGGTCTTTTACAGTCTTATAAATTTGTCATTATTTGCTTTTCTGTTTATTTACTTCCTATATTTATTCTGTTAAAAAAAAAAACGAAGGTAAAGAAAATTTGATATGTTTATCAGATATTTTTCAAGTTTAGTTCCGATATTTATTTATATTATTGAGAATGATAATTATTGCGCGATTTTTTATTTGTATTTATTTTTCTTAAATTATTATTTGCCTTTTGTTGCTATAAACAGCTCTGTTTTAAATGTCAAAAGTCTTTGCAAAATCTAAGTACTATTTTTCAATTAAGATTTTGATTTTAATAAATGTAATTAATAATTAGTTTTGAACAATAAATACTTATTGTAACTAATAATAATTATTAATAATACAATTATTTTAAATTGATTTACTTTTTTTTCTAAACTTCTTTCTTTTTAAATTGTTTTTTTTTCTTCTAATTGTCCCTATAGTTAGAAGCAAATATATTATTAAAAAAGTTTAAAAATTTGTAAGATTGAAAAAGATTGAAATTTCAAACGACTGCAATTATTAAATATTACAATATTCTAAATGAATTTTTTTTTTTTTTTTTAATTCTAAAAAATATTCGGAAGCGCATTTAATTCGAAAAATTCGAATACAAGATTGGAAAAATTGTTTTCCAATTGTTTTTTTTTTTTTTAATTTAAAATTTATAAATCATTGACAATATTGATCAAAATAATAGATTATTAATAATTTTGATCAAATTTTTTCAGTTAATAATTGAAAAAGTTTCAGAAAAGAAACATATATGAGAAAATTATTAGGCCTCTTATAATAATGTTATGATGAAAATTTTAAGTTAATTATTAATTTAAGATTTAAGAAAGTACTAATGTTTATATACAGAATGTTTGAAAAATTTCTTTTTTAAAAAAAGCCTTCAAAACTGTTTTTGACGATTAAAAAATCGTTTCGTATCTTTCTTGTTTCATTTCATTTCATTTTTTTTTTTTTTTTACGTAAATCAATTAAAAATGTTAATTCTAGATTCTCACTATTCTGTGTAATGTATTACGCGAGCGATGAAATCGAACTTTACGATTCTTAAATCCTAACTAGTAAAATTCTTAAAAACAACAATACTATATATATATAATATATACGAATTCTGAAAACTAAACTAATCCGAGCTACGATTTTTAACTATATATCAAAAAAAAAAAAAAAAAAATTTCTTTACGATCGTTTTACATACAGTCATCCATTATTGCATCGCCTTTATCTTTTAATTGTGATTCATCCATGTAATTATTTTTTAAATTCTTTTCCTCCGCTGATTTTATACACTGAAAATTTTTAGAATTTTTTAAAAAAAATAATCAAAATGCTTCAAAATATATATATATAAAATACTAGAAAAAAAACTTACATCTTCAATTTTAATTCTTGGCGCTGAAATTTGTTCCGGAAAATGCCAAGGCTTGAGATTTGGACTGTTTAATAATTTCCAAGACGGATAATTTTGCGATGCCTTGTGTAATTTTTTTACCATCTAAATAAATAGAATAAAAGACAATCTTTTGTAATATTTTTTTTTTTCAATTTTGATTTTCCGAAAGATATGGAAAAAAAAATTTGTTTATTAATGAAATTAAATTATATTAAATAAAACTAAATTAAATATTAATATTATTATTATTACTATATAATAAATTAAATTAACATAATTTAAAATTAAATCATAAAGTTTGTTTTCCTAAAAGAAATGTTTAAAAGAAAAAATAATAATAATTGCAGTATTGGAAATTTGAGAATGCAAATTAATGTATATATATATATAGGATGTTAATTTTTTTCACCTTCGGTGTGAATATTTGCGTGATTTTATTGACAAGCCACACAGGTAATTTTCCATGTGGATCTGTGTGCGAGACATAACCCAATTCGGAACCACCGTTTTGCGAGAGTCTCACAATATACCCTGAGAGAGAGAAAAAAAAATTTTGTCTATATTATTAAACGAAATGAAATTTTCACCTTTCTTTTAAAGAGAAATTTCCCTGTGAAAATTCATTTAAATTCCTTAAAAATACTAGAAAGAAATTTATGTTTCTTTTTCCGCGATAAATTTTATCAAAAATAATAATAATTACAATTTTGAATTATTCAAATTTTTAATTTTAATTATTTAATATTAGGTAATTTATTTTTATTTCATTTAAAATTTTTAAACATCAATTAATTAATATTAATAAATATAAATTATTATTTAATGTAAATTAAATATTTATTCAAAAACTAATTAAATAGTTGTTAATTAATTAATTTATTATATATTATTTATTTTTTTATATTTATTACTATTATTTATTATTATAATTTATTATTTATTAATTTATCATTTTGTTTGTTTTTTTTCCTAGTTACCTGTTAAATATGATGTTGCTCTCACAAATTGTTTCCTGGGAGGATAATCTTTATGATAAACGGAATGATTTATGATTAATTGTTCATCACCAGTGTCCAGCCATGACCTTTGAAGTACAAAATCCCTATTTTTTAAGGGCGACGGGCAAGCCACTAAAATTTTGGAAAATAATTATTTTTACACTGTTTCTTTAGATTTTCAATTCGCAGTAAGTTACATTTCCAAATAAATAAATTTCTATAACTAATAATTTTTACGAGTTTACTAAAAAAAAAAAAGAAACTGAAAAATAAAAATTTATTAAAAAATAATTTTCTTTTACTATAAGAAGAAAAATAATAATTTAATTTTTTTATGTTTTCAAATAAATAAATTTTACGAGTTTACTAAAAAAAAACTGAAAAATAAAAATTTACTAAAAAATAATTTTTTTTTTACTAGATATAAAAAAATAATATTTTTAAAATAAATAATTTTATTTGTTACAAAAAAAACTGAACGTTTGCTATTTTGTTAGCAAAAGAAATTTTTTCCAAAAAAATTATTTAAAAATATATTATCTTCATTATTATTATTATTATTTTATTAATAAATAGTTTGGTTTTTGTTGTGAATTTACTTACTTGAATAATAACCGAGATCGTTATTAGGATTAAAAAATCCTATTTCTTTTGATTCAATAACGTGATTATCCCAGACTTTTCGATATTCCGGATCGTGAAGAACGTCGAAGAGAGTTTGTGGCATAACATCGGAAAATCTCGTTCTAATCTATTAAAAAAAAAGCACGTACACAAAAAATTCAAATTAGAATCTCAAAAAAATGTTTTAATTTTGGATAAAAGTTGTAAATAATTTTCTTTTTTTAAATAATTAAATATTTAAATTAATTATTATATAGAGAAATAGAATATTATAAACAAAAATTATTGTGAAAAAAAATATTATTTATAATAAATTACTTTTTTTGAAAATTATTAAAATTTAATTATTGTAATTTACTTTAACCATCCGAAAATGAATTCCTGGAACTGATTTAGTCCAAACACATAAATCGGGTTTATTGTAATCCAATCGCCAATCATTGTTATTATCATATAGTTGTTTGAGTTTTTCGAAATCTTTATCTTCTGCGATTTTAACAATGCCAACGTCCATTGTTGAATTCTATAATTTTTTCTTAATTGATTAATAATGTCATTATTTGTTATTTATTTTGAAATAAAAGTAAAAATAATTTTGTTAATTGATTAATAATATCATTATTGTCCCGTTTATTTTGAAATAAAAATTAAAAAAAAAAAAAAAAATAACCATCTTAATTTTTAAAAAATAAAATTAAAATAAAATTACCCCTGAAAATAATGCGAAAATATTTAATTTTTATTTTATTAATTAATATATATTTCCAGGAAAACTAATCGATTTGTTTAACAAAATTAAAAAAAAATTGTTCTAAAAAAACAAAAAAAAAAAAAGAAAACAATAATTAAATAATTCAAATTGTTAACCGGATTGTTTAGTATTGAAAATTCAATAATCAATCATTGTCATTACAGTTAAATATCAAATGTATCGATATTTTTTCATTTTTACTTTATTTTTAGAATTTTTTTCTAAACAAAATTGCTTTTAAAAAAATCGTATTTTATTACAGAAACAAAACAAAAATTGTAGATAAAAAAAACAAATTTATAAGACGTGAATCTTTTTCTTTCATACAAAATATTTTTCATCTTCCTCTAAAAGATTCCATCTTTTTTTACACTCATAAAATAAATAATATTTTAAAAAACATACCAATATTGTAAATACATAGAAGAAAATTATACGCACAATATCGTAAAAAAAAAATATATATATAGATAATAAAAAGAATATAACCTGGAAAACAAGTTGCGAGGTTCCTTCTAATCACAACAGCGAGGAGAATGAAAAGAAAAAAAATACTCAATTGAATGATGAGGTATTTTTTTTTTTTACTAATCACATTGAGTAATCATTGGTATGAAGCAACCAAGTTTAAAGATAAGAAAGAAAGTCAATGGCCGAGTTATTGTATATGACAGATGAATTACGGCCATTTACGACATCAAACTTGTCTTATATATTTTCACTGTCAAAACAGTCCCTCTATGCACACACTTGAGTTCGAGAGATTCATTCTGAAATTCACTCATTTTTTTTTTTTTTTTTCAAAGTCTATAATATAACGAACAACAAGGTAAGTGAGTCTATATTGATTAGAAAATGAAAAAGAGTAAATTAATCCCTGGCGACAATCACAACGGGAGATCGGCGCCAACGACGACAGTTTGTTTCGCGAAGTATATTAAAAAGAAAAAAAAATCTTCGCCAATAACTTCACGGCCTCTTTAATTTTTAGGTTATGTTTTTCTATTTGCCTTTGCCTTCAACTGTCAAAATCAGCTGACGTACGCGAGTGTAATTTTTCAATTCATAATATTTTTCACTATTTAACAAAAAGTAATAAAATTTCGTGAATTTAAAATTATTAATATTAATTTCTGTTGTTATTGTTTTCAAACAGAAAGTTTTGATAGAAAAGATTAGATTTCGTTTATTTAAAATCGCTTGAACTTGATTTATAAATAAAGCCTTGATTTTTACTTCATGACGATGTTTCGAGTTTTGTAATTAGTTTATGTTACACTGTCCCACGTGGAGGTTTATCATTTCTTACAACAAATATCCAGTGCTTAAGAAATTGATAAGGAATTTATGATTAACAAAAAATTTATTCTCTTTATAAATTCTCGTCGATTTAGTGAGTGAAAAATAACAGCGATTATTTTACTTTCTTTTCATTAAAATATATTGGTAATAATAAAGTACTCTTAGATTTTTATTGAATTTTTAGATTAATTTCCAAAAAAAAATTTGCAATTTTACCATTATAAAAAGAAAGCATAGCTTTTTTTTATAAATATGTTTAATTTAAAATTTGTATTTTTCGCAAAATTTTTGTTCAAAAAAAAAAAAAAAAAAAATTAGTAATTTTCTTCTTTTTTGAACATTATTTTTCTATTAAATTTAAAAATTTTATTTATTTGTTAAAAAATTATTTACAAAATACACAGTTATTAATGGAAACTTGATATGTAAATAAATTAATTTAATAAATAGAATTGATAATTAAAATAAATTATTTTTAGATATAAATTATTAATTTCAAAGGATAAATTAATAGAGAGGGACATTTTGGAAAAAAAATGGCTCCTTTGAGTTCCGTGAATACGGGAAATCCGGAGCTTGATGAAAAAATTACCGAATGGTTTAAATGGAATAAGGTAATGAATTTATTATTTAATTAATATTATTTAATTTGAAATTAATTAAACATATTTTTTTCCCCCTATTTACAAATGAATTGTATTTTAAAAATTTATTTAAAAAAAAAACTATTTTAAATGTTTTCTTTTTTTAAATAAATAAATCACAGCCCCTTTTTTCGATTTTATACCTATTTATTAGTAATTTTTTTTTTTTTTTAAAGCGACTGGAAAATAAGTTCCAAAATTTTATTATAATTAAATTTGCTTTCTACGAAAGAGTTTAAAACTGTAGGAAATTATATTTTAAATATTATTATAATGACATTTTAATTTATTTGTTATATTTTTTTTCGTCACCTTTTGTCCCCTTTTTTAGGAAAAAAAAATTCCCCTTTTTCGTCTTTTTTATTTGAGGAGAAAAGTTTTGGTAAAAAAAAAAAATTTAATTTATTTTTTAAATTCTTTTCCTCCTCTGATTTTATACACTGAAAAATGTTAGAAATAATTAAGTATAAATTCTAATTTGTTCTTTAATTTTTATATATTTTTTGTAATATTTATTATTTTTAGTTTTTTTTTTTTAATTTTGTAATTTCAAACGAAATTTGAATTTCTGAATTAAAAATTTATTTCATATAAAAAAATTAGTAAATTATTATTAAATTAAATTTTATAAAAATAAAATTTTCTTCTCTATTTTTTTTCTTTTATTAAGGATCCAAATGCTGACGTTCAAATACAGTCTCTAATAAAGAATAATGATACGGGAAATTTATTGAAATTGTTCTTGAAACGACTTGAGTTTGGAACGGCTGGAATTAGAGGTAGAATGGGTCCTGGATTTAATCAAATGAATGATTTGGTAATTATTCAGACTAGTCAAGGTCTTGCTAAATATTTATTAGACACTGTTGGCAATGTGGAAATTAAAGGAGTCATCTTGGGATACGATGGACGACATAATAGCAAAAGGTTTTTTTTTTTTATTTCACAGATGATTTACTTAAAAAATTGTATCTCATTTAAATTATTATTTTATTACAATTTTTGTTATTCTTTAATTTTATTTATGTTTATTTTAGTATTATTATTATTTTTATTATTTTTATTATTTTTATTATTATTATTTTAATTATTCTATAATTATTCCATTTGTCTTTTTTTTTCTTTTACAGATTTGCAGAACTAACGGCATCAATTTTTCTTAATAAACAAATAAAAGTCTATATGTATTCAAAAGTTTGTCCAACTCCATTTATTCCATATGGAGTTTTAAAATATAAATGTGGAGCCGGAATAATGATAACGGCCTCGCATAATCCAAAAGATGATAATGGCTATAAAGTTTATTGGGAGAATGGTGCACAAATTATATCACCGCACGATAAAGGAATACAAAAATGTATATTGGAAAATTTAGAACCGTTAGATTCATCTTGGAATACAAAGGAAATTTATCAACATTCATTGTTTAATGATCCATTGAATGATGTTTTAAAAGAATATTACAATGATCTTAAGAATGATGTTTTATATTCGAATATTAATGAAAATACAATTCTCAAATTCACTTATACTGCAATGCATGGAGTTGGTTTTAATTATATGTCGAGAGCTTTTGAAACTGCCAATTTTAAGGTATTATATATTTAAGAAATTAATTTAATTGCAATTTTTTTTCTACTCTTTTTTTGTCTCTAAAATGATTAATTCAAAAAATTTTTTAATTTTTTTTTTTAGCTTTTAGTTTGAATTTATATTTAGCAATAATTTAATAATTATAATATAATAATAATAGTAGTAAAATAATAAAGTTAATATTCTGCTTATTGTGATTTTTAAAAAATAATAATTTTAATAAATTTATTAAATATAGATAATTATTCTCAAAATATTGAATTTGATTTAGAGAATTTGCAAAGTTAAAATAAAAATTTTGTATTTGTAATTTTTCGATATTTTCAAGCCGTTCATTGTCGTTGAAGAGCAAAAAGATCCGGATCCCGAATTTCCAACAGTGAAATTTCCAAATCCAGAGGAAGGAAAAAGTGCATTAAATTTGAGTATTGAAACGGCAAATCGAAATTCGTCTACAATTATTTTAGCAAATGATCCCGATGCTGATCGATTGGCGTGTGCAGTAAAAGGAGAAAAGTAAGTATAAATTTACAGAAAAAAAATTAATTAATTAATTATATTTATAATACAGTTTAATAAATTAATTTAAATATTTTTTTGTTATTAAAGAAAATTTCTTATATTTTTAAAATATTTTTTGTCAATTGAATTTTATCGGTTTCTTTTTCTTTTTTTTAGCAATGAATGGCAAATTTTCTCCGGCAATGAGCTTGGAGCACTTTTAGGATGGTGGATGATGCACGTGTATAAAGTTCGATATCCTGGCAATAATTTAGCAGAAACTTGCATGTTGGCCTCGACTGTATCGAGTAAAATCCTTCAATCGATGGCTAAGAAAGAAGGATTTCAATTTGAAGTAATTTCAAATATTTTTTCTTAATTTTCACTTGTTTCATCATTGAAAAAAAAGAAAAAAAAAAGAAACTAAAAGTAAAAAAATATTTACTTATAGTATTTTAATATTTTTTTTCTATCTATTTAAATTATATCCTGAATTCAAAAGAAAAAGATCATTTATATGTACCTATAAAATTAAAACAATTTTGTTATTTAAATTTCTAACTTTTTTTGTTTATTTAATATTAAATTTTTTTTCGAAACTTTTCGTCAAATTTTCAGGAAACTTTAACAGGCTTCAAATGGATGGGAAATAAATCGATTGATTTAATGAAAGAGGGAAAACATGTTCTTTTTGCTTTTGAGGAAGCTATTGGTTTTATGTGCGGTCAAAAAGTTCTCGATAAAGATGGAATTAGCGCGGGAACTCGTCTTGCCGAAATGGCCGCCTATCTTGAAACAATGGGTCTTTCGTTACGTGAAAAATTAAATGAAATTTACGCCGAATATGGTCATCATATTAGCGAGAATTCCTATTGGATTTGCCACGAGCAGGAAACAATTAAATGTATTTTTGAGAGACTGAGAAATTTTAATGGAAAACCAAATACAGTAAGTTTTTTTTTTTATTATATTTTATATTATTTCTTATTTTATTCTTTTTGCCATTTGAATAAAAAATTTGAATATTATAGAATAAATATAAATTTGAAATTATGAAGTAAAAAAAAAATTCAGAAATTAAAAATTTTCACAGTATCCAACAAGTATTCTTGGAGAAAAGTATCCGATAATTGGTGTAAGAGATTTGACGACTGGTTACGATAATTCGAAACCTGATAATAAAGCGATTTTGCCCATATCAAAATCAAGTCAAATGATCACATTCACCTTCAAAAATGGCCTTGTTACAACTTTAAGAACAAGTGGCACTGAACCAAAAATTAAATATTACAACGAACTTTGTGGAACTCCATGTCAAAAGTAAGAAATATTTATTTAATTAAAAAAATTACTCCATTAATTATTTAAAAAAAAAATAATACTCTTTGGACACTTTTCTTTTTTATTGTAGTTTAAACACTTTTTTTTTTACTTATTAATAATTTTTAAATAGTTTTTTTCTATTTTATTAATTTTTTCAATAATGGGCTTAAATATTAATTAATAATCTCCTGAGAAATGAATTTTCTTTCTGCAAACGTTATGAATTTGTTTAAATTAATAAATTTTTCAATATTTTCGAAATGTACTTTTAAAAAAGAAAAAAAACATTTTTACAGGGACATAAAAGTTTTGAAAAATACATTAAAGGAGATGGTCGATGCTATTGTATCGGAATTCCTTCAACCAGAATTAAATTGCCTAATACCTCGCAGTGATTAATAATTATCAAGAAGATAATTTCAACATTCTAATAATAATTTATTGGAAAAGAAGACTCTTTCATGGCTCGTGCTCATATATACTTAAAAATAAAATCATTAAAGTAGTTTCATTACATTAGAAATTATCTATAGATATGCGAAAAAAAAAATTAGTTTTTTCTTTAATTGTAACTTCACTTTTTTACTAAATGTAGTACAATAAATAAAATTCTCCAAATGAGAATATATTTTTTCTTTTTATTTCGTTTTTACTTACACAAATAAATTTTTATTTCAAAAGAAACTCATTTTTAAAAAAAAAATTTTTTTTTTCGATAAGTATAAAAAACAGGAATTTTAAATATAAACATAAATATTAAATTTACTTTTTATTAGTGCAAATTAAATTCATTGCAATAATAATTTTGAAAAATATATTGAATTTACAATTTTTGTCTAACTTTTTGAAATATATAATCATTTTTTTTTTTTTTTTCTTTACAGGCAAAATTGTGAATTATGTCAAATTAATAAAAAAAGCAAGAGAAGTTTTTTACTTCTTTTTATTAAAATATTTGAATGTTAAATTAAACTTATTCGATTAATTCGTAAAGCTGTTTTAATTGCTAAAAGAAAAAAAAGTATTGACACCAAGGGTCACGTGTCATGAGTTAATATTCAAAATTATAATGTTTAATTTGTTGTGAAAAACAATATTCCAATTTGCACTTTAACGGTTAAAAAGTCTTTTCCTTTTTGTGCCTCGAAAGCAACGGAAAAATGATTGAATGAATTATAAAATCACTTGATAATATGCAATTGCTTTCGTCACGGTCAACTGGTGGCTACTATTATTCATGAGTAAGCATAAAATTATAAGTGACCAAAGAGACACATTTATAAAAAAAAAAAAAAAAGATTAAAATCAGAATAAAAAAAAAAAACCGGCATAGGTATATCGCAATTCTCAGTGAGTGCCAATGATGTATTATTGCGCTCGAATGTAATTTCTGATTAGTTATCACTTGACGACGAGTCGAGATTGAACGATAAAAATAGTTTCTGAAATAAAATATAGTTTCTGGGAAAAATTTTCTTTGTTTGAAAATTTTATTCGAAATTTTTCACGTATTAGAGGAATTTTTTGAAAATGAATTCAAGTGTGAAGAGAAGAGAACAATTTTCATAAAGTGTCAAGTAATTGTATTTATTATTATTATTATTATTATTATTAACTATATTTGTCATTATTGAATTTCAATTAATGCTGAATTGTAAGATTAAAATTTCAAAATTTTACACAATAATGACTTTCACTTTTACTTGTAATTTTATTTCATTATTAATTTTGTTTTTTTTTTTATTGATAATATAAATTTGTTGTGTCTTATACAAAGTTTTGTTATTAGAAAAAAAAATTTTTACAACTATTTTTATACATTTTTGTGAAAATTACTTTCTTTTTTTGGTAATTAAATTTTTAAATTTAATTTTGTTTTTATTTGCAACTTTTTATAAATTCTGTTTGAATTCTATTTAAAAAAAGAAAATTAACATTTAACTTAACAATTTATTTAGTATATAAAAAATAAAACTAAAAATATATTTTGAGTGTATGAAAAATAACAATTTTGTTCAAAATTCATTTGAAATTAAAAAAAAAGTATTTTATTTCTATTTATTTACGCTTTATATTTTTATGTAATGATGATGATTTTACTGAATAATTTCTTTTTTATTCCGCTCTGGAGGAAAAAAAAACTTTCTTGGAGGACGTTGTGAAAAAAAAAATGTCAAAACATAAAGGATCATTAAATACAGTGTGGAATGTATTTTTCGTTTTTTTGACTTTAATTCCATCTCTATTGTTGAGCATTTTTGCATTTCCGACAATTCAATCTATGTATTATCTTTCGCCATACTTTGACAACGATATACCAAAAATTACGTAAGTCATATCAACAATGATATTTGTAATTTAATTTTTTTTTTTTTTTTTTTTGTTTTGCCTTTTTCGATCAAGTCACGTAATTATAATTAAGACTTATTATGCTTAATTTATATTAATCGATGTCTCGTCTGTGTCATTAACTTTTTTTTTTGTTTATTTTTTACATTCTACAAATACAAAACGTAGAATTTTTTTTTTTAATTTCTAAAAATTCTATTGTAAAGAAATTTCTTTTCAATTTTCATTCAATCTTTTAAGTAAAATAAAAAGAATTTCTTTTTTTCCAGAATTTATTCAGTTGCCATGGAAGAAAAATCTTTATAATTATTTTTGAATTGAAAAAAAATCAACGATCGACGCAAAAGACTGAAAAATAAAAACAATTTAGAAATATAAAAATTTGTTATATTTATTATATTGCAAAAAATAATTGTAAATAATAAAATACTTGAAACAAAATTGAAGTTTTGTAAATATTTATGATTTTATTTAACTATAAGAAATTTTTTTTTTTAAATAAAATAAAAAATTTTTCTTGTAAATTATTAAATTTTCATTGAAAATAAGTTTGCAATTTTCCAAAAATTGTAATAGAGTAATAATTTTTCTTTCTTTGATATTAAAAATATTTTTTTAGTTTATTTTATTAAATTCTTACATTCATATAATAAATTGTAGTAAATATAATTTTATTTGTTATTAAAATTAATATTTTTTTCTTACAAAAATTACTATTTTATTTTTGTTCTTAATTCTCTAAAATTATGTCCTTATAATCCTTGAATTATAAACAAACAAACAAAAAAAACACAATTAACAATTATTAGATTTTATTATATATTTGATTACAGTGAATAAATTGATTTTTTTTTTAAATTAGATCACGAGACTTGATTAAATAATCAAATACAAATTTTTCAAACACAACAAATGATAATTTAATCATGTCTGATGTTCTACACTTAATAACAAGGCATTTTATTTATTATACAAATGTAAATTGGCACGGTAGACACCCTCAATATTTACAATTATATGCATTATATAATCTATATATATATATATATATCAATTAAAATGATAATTGAATTTTAATTAAAATTCAATTAATTGATGCGTATGAAAATAGCATAAATGTTATGTTTTACAATTCTAAAACAAGATAAATAATTATCTGTATTACACTAATAATAATTCTATTATTGAAATAATATATATTTTTTTTTTTATTGATCTAAATTTGAGTTTTATTTGAGGCAAATTAATTTTCAATTATTGCTTCAAACGCTTCTAAAGATATTTTTTCTACGAATAATAATATGTCTTTCGATTTTTTTTTCTAACTACATACAAATTTTCTAAAAAAAAAAAAAAAAAAAAAATTAGTGCTCAATTGTCGCACTCAAATTTCTTAAAACATTCCACTTAGGCAAAGTATACAATTTCCCTTTTTTTTTTTTTAGCAGTAAAAACATTGTCCGCCAAAATGCCTTTATCACAATATTTACAATATTTATAAGAAATGAAACTAGAACATGTCAAAATGACAGTTTTTTGTTTTTACATCAAACTTTCTATACTAAAGAACAATATTATCGTAAATTGATTAATTGTTCTTAATTTATAATAATCACCTATAGAGAAACAACACATACTCTCGATCATTAATTCATAAACACGAGATTTTGATAAAATTTCTTAAATATAAACATAATATTATTTTTACTTTCATACTATATAACTATAGTGTAAAAAAAAGAATTTATAAAAAATTGTTTCCTTCTTTTTTTTTTTATAGGCACCAACAATGATTATGGATAAAAAAATTTGTTTTTAAGCAATTTATCTTATATTTAAATTTACTTGAATATAAATGAATTAAAATTCAGCTCCATACGTCACTTGAATAACGTTTTTGCGTATCCATTTTCTTTATATAATCTTGTGCTTCCATTTCTGTCATTTTTCCCTTTTGCATTACTACTTTCAATAGAATATTGTGTACATCGCGAGCCATATTTCGTGCATCACTGAAAAAAAAAAATTGTTTTAATTTATTAGATATATATACATTAGAAAAAATGGAAATATAGGGAAAATAAATACGACATAGAATGTAAAATAATTAATATCGTCTTAATTCAATCTTTCTACTGTAGAAAATAAATTATTTTTTAAATAACTAAATTCAAAGTAAATTAAATTTCGGAAAATTTCAATACTCAGCTATTTGACGATTTTAAATGATACTGATTGTATTCAGTAAATTAAAAAAAAAATTCAAGACTTTTTTTTAAGGTTTTCAAGGTTTAAAATAATTTTCTTTTCAAGGTTAATGAGGGTAACTTTTAATTATTTTAAATCTGAATTTTTTTGTGACACCAAAAAACCATGATTTTTTCATTCAAATTCTTTTAATTAAATATCTTCAAGAATTCAATGTATTATCAAAATTGCAAATAAAATTTTTCGGAAAATTTATTTTTGAAACCTCTGAAATAAATTAACTATAAAAATTGAATTATTTTTAAAATTTATTATAGAAATTGAATGAATTTTGACGAAGAAAAATTTTTTTTACCACCACATTTAATTCTTTGGATTTGAATTTTTCCTCTTAATTTTGAATTTTAACCTTTTATTGTAAACTGAGATTTTTATAATTAATTTCATGGTTTATTTAATTTTCAAGGGTCGTTGAAAACCCTGTGATCAAAAAATAAATTCCAAGAAAAATAAAATTGCCAATTTAAAAAGAAACATCAAATAACAAACAAAATAAACTTACCCGCACACATAAATGTGACCGTTCTTTTCTCCAATTACATTCCATAATTCATCGTCATTCTTTTCTAATAAGTGTGTTACGTAAATTTTGTGTTCCTGCTCTCGACTAAATGCCGTGTGCAAAATAAGAGTACCATTCTTCACGTATTCCTCAAGTTCTTCTTTATATAAGAAATCTTCTGCACTTTTTCTACATCCAAAATACAAAATTGTCTCACCCACTTCTTTTCCTATATATATATACCAAGAAAAAAATTAATTTATCCAAATTAGTATGTACATTCAAATCAATATGTAGTTAAATTAAGAAATAATACAAAGCTGAAGTACGCAACGTTTATAATAAACGATTTTTAAAGAAATAATTTTTATAATTTTTTGCCTAAAAAATATTTTTTTGGCGAAAAATTATTTCTTTAAAAATCGTTTAACATAAACGTTGCGTACTTCAGCTTCATAAAATAATTGAATTACAATAAATTAAATAATTTTAATTTTCTAAATTAGAATTAAATAAAATTTTAAAGTAAAATTTGTTTTAAAAAAAAGGATGTTTTACACATTGAAAGGAAATATTAACCTTCTTTTCTGGCAAGATCACGTTCTTGGATAAATCCTCTAAATGGTGCAAGACCAGTTCCTGGACCGACCATTATAATTGGCGTTGAAGTGCGAAGAGGAAGACGAAATTGTGATTTCCTGACGAAAATTGGAACCAAACTCGGTGGCTCCGAGGGATGTTTCTCCTTTAACCATGAAGTTGTTACTCCCTTGTTAATTCTTCCAGTTGGTGTTTTATATTCCACAACAACTGCAGTTATATGAACAGTTGTTGAATGAAGCTGTCCAAAGAAATAATTATTTATTTTACACAGTTAAAATTAATTAATAACTGTTTATTTTACTATTAGGGACATATACTAAATAAAAAAAAAAATTTGTTAAATTTCTTTTCTCACCTTTGGAGACGACGATATTGAATAGTATCGACATTGAAGACGAGGAAGTAATTCACAAAGATGATCGAGAGCTGGTTTAAGACTTGGAATATCTTCGAGAATATGTACAATATTTCTATTCTCTTGTATAATCCATTGATTATAAAGAGCTTTACCCTCAGCACTTGTTGAGGCCATAAGTTTTAATTTTTCCTTATCCTCTGATTCAGTGCAATATTCAGCTAATTCTTTAAGAATATGTGTTCTTGGATGACCAGTGATATCTAAATAATGTGTGAGTGCCGTTCTATATGAACATGGACATGGGAATGGATGTTTTTTCGTTGATTCCTCATCGGTATTTGTTAATGTGACAATAGTATCTAAATCAACGCCACATTTCTCGCCAATTTTATTCACAAGCAATGAACAATTCACTGGATAAACAGCTAAATGATCACCAGTTTCATAGCGCATTTTTGAACCCTCAATATCAAATTCAATATGCATACATGAGCGTTCTGATTTTGGTCCATGAAGTTCTCTATTTACTTTTACTGCTGCCAAATATGGATTCTTTGCATCGAATGGACTACAAAAGAAAAAGAGAGAATATTTTATTCACTTTAAAATATGTCAATGAATTTAATTTATTAAAATTATTATTATTATTAATTAACTTGTATTTAACAAATTAATGACTGATTAAATGAGTATTGAATAATTAAATAATTAATAACCAAATTTTTAAAAAACAAAAAAGTTATTAATTAAATAAATAATTAATTTTTAATAATGTACTGAAATTCAAACAGGATTGCCACAAAAATTTCATTATAATTTTCCCTTAATTCCAGACAATATTTTGTGTTTTTTCCTGAAATTTTCGAATTTTGTTCCTTTCTATTCTATTCTATTTAAAAAAAAAAATTGTGAATTCTTAAAAAAATTCAATTACATATTTTCATAAGTTTAAATGAATTTATTTTTAAAAATTAAATTATTTTCAAAGTTTAAATCAAATTTTACGAAATTTCAATTACTTACAATTCTTTTAATTCAATATATTCGAAAATTCAATTATTTTCCAAAAAAATTTAAATTATTATTACATTTTAAAAAGAAATTAATTATTTATTTTATTTACAAAAAATTGCAATTTCAAATCTACTGAAATTCAATTAATTCTAAAATTCTTAATAGGAACTATTCGAAAATTAAAATATTTATAAATTTTTTTTAATTCTTTTGTTTTAGAGAACTTACGCTCTTTGATTTTTGAAGGAATGAAGTCTGGCAATTTCTCCATGATAAATACGATCAGCTGGTAAATCAACGTGTTCAGTAAGTTTATATTGACGAATGCTCACATCTTCGCTGATTCCTTCAATTCCAAAGAAGTCACAAACAACTGGCCAAAATTTATCCTTCCAAGTAATAAAATCGTCTTCAATGCTATCAAAATGATAACAAGATTAAAATTTTACGTACTTAAATAAAACTTGCTTCTTTTTTGAAAAAAAAATTTAGTACTTAAGTGATGATACGATTTTTCCAAATTTGTAAATAAATTGATTTTTATTTATCAGGATGTCTAACAACTGCTAGGAAAAAAATTCCCTGACTTTTCATTGATCTTAATTTACACTAAAAATTTTTTATTTTGACAAAATAAAATTTATTTTGACAAAATAAAATTTATTTTGATACAATTAAATCATTTACCTGTCTATTATCAACTAATTTCAAATGTGTTTGAACCAAATAAATAATGTTTCGTAAAAAATAAAATATTTAAGTGAAATAAATAAAATAAATAAATAAATAATAATAAATAGAAATTTTTTTAAATCGAATTTTAGTTAAATGTAAATTGAAAATTTTGCATAATATAAAATTCACTTTATACAATTTTTCTAAATAGAAATTCGATAATTTAATATTCGACGCCGTAAAAAATTTTTATAAGTTAAATGTGGGTATTAGCAATTAAATAATAAAAATTATTCGTATTAATGAATAATTTACTTTATTTGAAGTTGAACCGATAAAATAAAATTGTATCAAATAATTTTTATTTATATTTAAAAAACCAAATATTTCACTGCAAAAAAATTAATTAATTGTTATCCAAGTTTAAAAAATCATTTATTAGATTCAATAAATAGTAGTAAATAATTATTTACATAATTAATATAAGATATATCACATGCTTAATAATTGAGTGTGAAGGACAACTTTTTAATTTCCATTTGCTTTGGGAAAAAAGTAAAAAAATTTTTGAAACTAATTTTATAGTTTGTTACTTTAGTTTATTTAGTTATTTAATTTTTTATTATTATTTATTTAGTTACTTTAATTTATTCATAAGAAATTCCAGAAAATTAAAGAAATTCCCTGATTTTCCCTGACTGTTAGACACCCTGTTTATTATTATTATTATTATTATTATTGTTAGTATTTTAAATAGCCATTTTTATTTCTTAAATTAATAGCAAATTCCACTTTTATCGAATTAAAATTCATTATTTGAATTATTTTATTTTCTCTTTTATTTCATTCAGAAAAAATATTAAAAATTTGTCCCAATGTAATAAAATATTTGAAATAAAAAAATGGTAAATGCAGAAAAAATATTATTAATTTTTCTTTTTTTTGAAATTTAACAAAATATTTGAAACAATAAAAATGGTAACACTTACTTGGCATCGTCATCGCCAAGACCGAGTTCATAGACACGAGTTGCACCAAGTTGCTCCAATCTGTGATCGATATAAATTGCCACTTCATTGTAATGTTCATACGTTTTGTTTCCAAGTCCAAAAACCTACGCAAAAAAAAAAAAAAAAATTATTACAATTAAAAATTCATAATTATAAGTAACAATTAATTCAATAAGTATTTTATATTTTATTTATTTTTTTTTAAACCATTTCGAAATAAATTATACCTTTTAAAATAGAAATTTTTTTTGAAATTAAAATAAAGAAACAATTTTTATCGGAATATTCTACTATTCTAGTAATTATTTATATAACATTGTTATAAAACCATCAACGTTTTTATTTATTAAACATAAAAAAAACGTTAAAATAATTTTATATCAAAAATAAAATTTTTTATTATCAAATTAAATAATAAAATTACCTTTTTTTTAAAAAAAAAAAAAACAAATTATGATTTTCATAAAAAAAAACACTACCTTAAATTTTGGAGCCGAAATTAATTCGTTACCTTCCCAAAAGAAGGCGTTGACACGAAATCGACGAGTGAACAATTTGAAAAAATTGCTAATTAATTTAATTTGCATTTTATCACTACTTACACAATTTTACGCTATCTTCAAATATAAAAATAGATTAACTATTATACCAATGATGTCTAGAAAATGTTCTTTCGACCTTTAGTCTCAATGATAATTGTTTACTTAATGAGATGATCGTTAATGAAAAATTTCTATAAGAGACTTTTAGCAGACAAATAAAAGTGTTTCTTAATCGCAACATTTGATGTCAGTGTATTATGTAAAGTTGTAGTTTCGCACATTAGTAATTAAAATACTCAACATCATTAGCATACACGAAAAACTTAATTGTTTTCTATTTACATCTGATGAAAACAGAGAGAGATTTACACGTGCTAGGAGAAAAATTGAGGTTAGGTTAACACACATATGAATTTCCTTAATCAAACGATAGATGGCAAAAGTGAGTCAAATTTTAAATTTATTTAAAAAATTTTTTAAACTTTTCTAAATTTATTTAATTAATATCTAAATTATAAATAAATATTTCATAATTATTTTGAAAATATATTTTATGAATAAAACAATTTTGGCATTTAGAAATTAAAAATAAATTTATAATTTAAAAAATTCAAAATATTATTTAAAATTGATTCACAATTTTTAAGAATTTGCAATTAAATAAATTTAAAAATATTCACATGCATATCTGTAATAATTGCTTGTTAAAATATATTATTAATGCCTCTTTTTTAATAATTCTTATCTGAGTTCCAATTTGCTGTTTCTTTTTTTCCTTTTTTTTTTTGATTAAAAATAAAAATAAAACTCTAAAATGTAAACACATGATTGTAATAATGAAAAAAAATTTTCGAAACCTGTCAATATTATCAATTTATGTTTATAAATTCAGGTTTTTCACATGCTCGAGCTTTGAACTTTGCCTTTTATGAATATCGTCAAACATTAAATGTTAGAACAGAAAGTTGTGCAATTCAGAATTTCACTTTATAAATATAACAAAAAAAAAAAAAAAAAAAATTTCTCGCAAAAAAATTATTCAATAAAAAAGAAATAATTCCATTAGAATTAAAATTAAAAATTTAAGAACTTAGAAATTTCATAATCACTAGACAAAAATAATAAAATACCGGAAATTATTAAAATGTTTATTAATATTATTATTCCGAAATATTTTCTATTTATTAATTTTCTAATTTAAAAATTCTATTTATAAAATTTAAATATTTAAATATATTTCTAACAAATTTATAAAATTTTTCAAATAGTTCGCAAAAAAAGAAACTTTCAACTATATTGACAATAAAAAAAAATATGAATTAAACATTTTTCATCTCAATGATTATTTAATAGATGAAGTAATGTTTCATGAATAAAATTTAAATGAAAAATTAAAAATGTTTAAATTTGAAAGAAAAATTAGTATCAATTTTAATTGTTTCAAATTATTGAAATTTTACTAATATGGAAAAATAATGATTAATGAAGTAAAATGATAAATAATATACGTACAGCGTAATTTAATCCACTGAGATCGCCATCGCCATTTTTGAGCCAGTCAACAAATTCCATAGCATTGTCTGTTGGATCGCCTTCTCCATAAGTAGCCATACAAAATACTGCCATACTGTTTGGTATTGACTTTAAGTTGACTAATTCTTGCTGAAATAATAATTAACATTTTTTAAATTATTTAAATCACGTACTTCTCTATATACGCGTAATCAAAATTATAAAATATTCATTTTAAAAGATAGTAAAAAAATAAAAAATTTTTTTTATTTTCTGCTTTATAAAATCATAATAGTAAATTATGGTATTTTTTTTATTATTTCAAACAAAGTTTGGAGAAAACAAATTCTTTCACTTTTTCCTTGATTACTTTTTTAATTCATATCATTGGTTATTATTGATTAAATATTGAAATTAATTTGTTATAAATTAACTATTTTTTATTTATTTTACTTATTACTTTACCTTGAAAATATATTGCGTCTTAAAACAAAGAACAAAAAAAAAAAAGAAAATGTAAATCGTACAAATTGAATTTTTACTTATGTCTGACAAAAAAAAAGCTTTCGTTCATTTTAAAGTATTTAGAAAAAATTAATTTTAACATTCTTAAAGTTAATTAGAAAATTATAGAAAAAATAATAATTGATTAATTTTTAAATTCGTGATAAAATTTTTATGTCTTAGTTTTGGACAGAATAAAGAATCAATAAAATATAAATTTTACCATTTAAAAATTTAGAGCTAAATCAAAATTATATCGAATAAAAATTTCAATACGAAAAAAATTTTTATTTTTTTTATTCAATCAAAATTTTTTGTTAAATAAAAAATTAAATTAAATAGAAATATTATTGAATGGAAAATTCGAAATTTCGACTAAAAATTTAATAATTTATGAAAAATTTTAATTTATTTACAATTAGAAAAAATTAAAAAAAAAATTATCTTAAATTCACAAATTATAAACCATCAACCGGAGTAATTATGGAGCACGCAATTCCTTTTTTTGTGAAAAATTTTTTTTATAGTAAATTCTTTCAATTTAACTCTTGTTTTAATAAATAATTTAATATTTTGCCCTACAAAGTAAATTTAATGTTTTTATTTTTTTATTATTACTGGCAACGAGAAAAAAATTGTCAAACTTTAAAAAAGTGAAAAGGTCATTTTTCAAAAAAAAAAGAAAAAATGCAAAAAACTTTCTTTTTATGTTATAATATAATTTTTAAAAAAATTGTTTTCAACAATTTAGATTTTTGGTGAAGAAAAAATTGAAAAAAACTGCGTTTTTTGTTCCATAATTACTTCGGTTGACGATAATAATTACTATTAAAAATTCCTAAATTTATGAAACAAATTTGAGAAAAAAAAAAATTAAAAACCAAAACAAAAATAATTTTTAAAATATAATAGGGTAAATGCACTAATTGCGGCGAGATTCGAGTCAAAACACCTTTGAAATAGAAAATTCGACATTTCTATTGTATAAACTCAATTTAAGACTTATTAAACTTAAAGCTTATGTTATTAAGATATTAAAAAAAAATTTTAACTCTATAAAAATCGATTATTTAAACAAATATGAGAAATTAAAACTAATACCGTAATTTTCTATTGCGGCGAGTTTGTATCAGTTTCGGTGTATCAATTTCGGTGACCAAAATTACGTGTATTTTGAAGATACTTTGCCCGCCGAAATTGAAGCCAATGGAAATCTTAAAAATGTTTCAATTGCGGCGCGGAAAAAAATTTGATCTCAAATAATTAAATTAATAATTGTTTAAATGTGCATCTTTATAAGTATTTGTATCAAAAAAAGATTGAAATAATTTTTTTTAATCATTTGGCAACAGTTATATTAAATATAATAGTAATAATAGTTATTTTTTATGAACGCGCCGTTATTGGTGCACTCGCCGTAATTACCCTATTTAAGAATAAAACAAAAACTTACCATATCACATTCCTCTGGATCAGCAACCATACCCTTCATTCGATATCGAATACCTTCTTTAGCTAATCGACCAGCAAATTCCTCGCCAGTACCAGTTTGACTACCATAAAATACTACCAAACTACGTCCAGAAGTTTGGAGTTTTTTGATAAATGAATTTTCCGAAGGCATCACTGCCGTATATGACGTAGGTCTGCAAAAAAAAAAAAATCAATATTAAAATTTTCATAAAACAAAACCTAATTTTTTTTTAAATCATCAAATTCATACAAATAATTCCTTATATAATTTCTTTTATTATAAATTTTTATATATAAATTAAAAATTATCGAAAAATTCATTTTGAAAATTGTAAATCATAGTTTTTTTTTATTTTATTAAATTTAAAAAAAAATTTAAATCAACTTACTGTATTGAATACGATTTCGTGGATGGTGTATATTCATCTTGTTTGTTTCTTCTCATGAGCCACCATAGTCCAACTAAAATGAGAATAACGAGAAGGGCAATATCGTAGGTACTAAAAAATGGTTCACTGACAATTGTTGCATCATCGTTCTCTTCCAAAATTGGTGGCCCTGCCATTCTGATAGCTTTTGGTTGTGACGCGTCAACAGCCTGCAACATTATAAATGAAAGAGAATTTATTTCCTCATTAACAAATTACATTATACAATTTTCCTTTTTCCTCGTTAGATTTTTATGATATTTAACATGTGTACACAAAAAAGAGAGAGAAAAAAAACCTAGAATGCTTCCTTACAAAAGAAAATACTGCTGCATATTTTCATTTTTTTTAAATTGTTATTTTTCCGAAATTTAAATATTTTTTTCATACAAATTTAATGCTATTAAATAGATTTTTTTTATTATTAAGCTTGTTCGGCCAATAAAATAAATATGTAAAAAAAAAATGTTAAAATGAAAAATATATTTAAAAAAATTAATTGTTATCAGATGAGATTTCTTATTACTCAATAATAGTTGCAGTGTGAAATTTCCATTCGATTAAATTATTAATAAAATTACTGTCACAGATGCACAATTGATATTAAGAGGTAATTTTCAATATCTCTATCATAAATTGATAATATGGCTTTTTTTTTTTTATTGACAATTTATCTAACAAATATGACTTAATAGTCTTTTATTTTCATTTACCGTCTTTGCGCGTGTTCTTTTTTTTCCCTGATTAATTACATAGAGTACATTTATTCACATTAACCATAATTAATTTCTCTTCTAATTTATCAATTTGCATTTAATTAACATTACGCAGGATCATGACTCTATTTTTCTCTTATTTTGAAATTAATATTCCTTTAAATATTCTCAAAAAAATTTATTTTAAACGACACAAACAAAGATTTACTCGAATTATTGAACTTTTTATTTTTTATTTCATTTTCTAATTAACATTTTTTATTTCATCAGATTAATTATTTCAAAAAAAAAAAAAAATTCATTTTATAAATAGGTTGCAATTACATTAAAAACAAGTGCATTGTAAAAATTTTATTATTCTTGAAAAATAACTTTTTTATTATAGACGAGAACCAAATTGTATTTTTCAAAAGAATAAATTATACTTTTTTTTATTTATTTTGGCTTTTTTTGATATTTTTTATAAAAATCAAATTTTGTATAAAAATAAATAATTTGGCACTGATTTTTTTGTTTAGACATAAATAAAATTTGTCTTACAAAAAAAAAAAAAATGAATTTTAAGAATTTTTTATTTTTGTGCTACGATTTTCATAAATAGTTACATTCATATTTTACTGGGTCAAGATCTCGTCCTTGATCTTGATGGACATTATTATTATTATTATTATTATATTGAAAGTCGCAGACTCTTTTCAAGGATAAAATTTAATTTCTCCAAGGTTTCTTCTCAATGAAAAGGAAATAATAAATTAAATGAACGATAAACGAATAAAGAAACAGAAAAATTTATTATTATTATTATTATTATTATAATATAAATTATTATATTATATTAACGAAATTTATTAAAAAAAAAAAAATAAAAAAAATCAAGACGCGTGGAAAAATAAGAAATGAAACGTATAAAATTGATGTTAGGCATAAACAAGACTAATCTGTGATCATTGTGAAAAATCACCTTAACTATTGCATCATCTAAATGACTTCTGCCTATTATCATTATGCAATATAATGAATAAAATGCTTGACACGTGGATCTCACCAACATGCATCTAATGGATCTTGTTATAAATATATATATATATATATATATATATATATATACATTACTGACATTATAAATGAAAACCTGTGAATCACACGAACGATGACAGGGCAAAAGAATAAATTACTCCAAATCGGTATATTCAGTCACGTACACCCGTATTGTTACACTTTTTTTTTTTTAATTTCATTAACATTTACTTTAAATTAAAAAAAAAACTCATATAATTATTACAATATTATTTAAAAAAATAAATATGAAAAAAAAATCCAAAATGTGTTCAAAATTATATCTCACTGATTCAAATATTATATTTTAAGGACGTTCACAGAAATACAAATCTTCAGAAAAAAAAATATTTAATTGATGTTTAAAAAATAAAATAAAAATTATCAAATATAATATTTACTAGAAGAAAAAATATAAATTTTCATTAAAAAAATTTTAAAACAAAAATTATTTTTACATTTTGCATAACAAAATAATCTTTTTCATATCGCTTTCTTAAAATTGAAAAAAAAATTTCTGAGAAAATAGAAAATTAGAAAAAATAGAAAAAAATAGAAAAAAAAAATAGAAAATAGAAAAAATTTTAATTATTAAAAAAAAAAAAATTTTTTTTAAGAAAGACTCGGATTTTAAAAAATTTTAAGGAATCAATATGAAGAAAATTATTTATCATACATACATATGCAAAATATATAAATAATTTTTTTTTTCTTGAAAATTGGTATATCTTTTATAATCGTGTAAAATTTAAATAAATATTTTTCTATATGACCCTAAAGTCACAAATCTCCACAAAAATAATAAATAATAATATTTTAATTTTTAAAAAGTCAATTAAATTTTTTTTCCTGAAGGTCTGGGTACAAAAAAAAATTCCTAGTCTTACAAAATCATATTATCAAAAATTACATCAAGAATAATAATAATCAGAGGAAAATATATAAAAAATATTAAATTAAAAAAAAAATCCCGAAAAAGTTATATTTTTTAGTTTTCAAAATTTCGAAATATAATTTTACAATTTTTCTTTTTCCAAAGCGCGTCATTTTAATCATTTTCGTAAATATGTAATAAATTTCTACTTTTGTTGCAAATGACTCCAGGTCATCGTGTCTCTTCAAGAAGCCTTTGCATTATTCAAAATGACATTTTAAAAATTGCAAAAAAGTTTTTAAGTCTCCTTTATATATATATATATATATATATATTTTTTTTTTAATAACAATTATTATTTTTATAATTCTGCAATAATGCAAAATAAAAAAAAATCCCTTCGTCTTTTAACTAAAAAATCAGTATTATTTTAGTAATTACTACCACGTGTCAAAAAAGTTTTATTCATTTTTTTTTTTTTCATATTTGATGATAGATTTAAATACATTAATCTTTGTTCGTCATTGACGCGCATCCATTCGCTGACATACGTAATCCTGCAAATTTTCCTCTTTCGAATTTTATATTTTTTATTTTATTTCCAACATATAATTTTTTGTTTATAGGTTTCCTCTAAAAATATAGACACACGATATAAAAACACGTTTATAAAAAATTTTTATTTTATTTATAAAATAAAAAATTGATTTTTAATTTTATAATATTTAATTTTATTTTATAATATAAATTATTTTATTAATAATTTATAAATAGTTATACACTTATTTTTTTAAATTTCAATTGAATTTTCAATTAAATAATAAATTGCTTTCTTTTTATATATAAACATTTGGAAATTTTTTTTAATTAGGAAAATTATTTTTGTTATCTCGTTAAATTACACGATTAAAAAATAAATAATAGCTATAAATATAAAAATATAAATCTATTTTTGAAAATTTTGTTTAAATTGTAAAATATATTTCGTCTCAGTGTAGAATAAATTCAATTTTATTATACAAGTAAAGTAAAATTTATCTTATCTATTACTTTATGTATATATGCATAAGGCTCTATCAAAAAATACTTGTTATTTTTATGTTTATCAGCATTATTTTAACTTTAATCATAATTAAGAGAAAAATAAAAATATATATCCTATTTAAAAATATTACCTTTTTTTACCTGCAAAATTACGAGTTATTTAATTTATTTATTTTTAATCATTGTTATTATTATTAATTTTAATAATGATTATTTAATATCTTTGTAAAAAATATTTTATTAATATTAAATATTTAATAAAAATATATATTTTTCATTCTTTTCTATACATGAATAAATTAAAAAAACAAAAATATTATTAATAAATACAAAAGTAATGATAATAATAATAATAATAATAATAATAGTAAATATATATTTAATTTATTTTATTTATATATTATATTATATATATATTATTAAAATATATTTTTTTACAGAATCATATTTTTTTTGTTCACTACGTGTGAGAAATGATTGTTATTAAACGACTTTCGATTTAAAGAACGAGGAAGGAAGTCAAATTCACAGAGAGAATGATGAAGTAATAAATAAATGGATTTCGCACTTTCACCATTAATTTAAAATGCACGACAGTATGAAATGAAATTGACAAAAATGAAACTCACCGGTAAATCCATAATTTTTTTTTTTAATTCACTTTAACAAACGGCAATCAACACAAAAAATTTTCAATGATAATTATACTTAATATTAAATTGTTTAATTTATTTTTTATTTTTTTAATATCATTAAATTAGTTTTTTAATTTTATTAAAATTAAGTAAATACTTTTTTTTGTTTTTTAATTTAATTTTTAATTATTTTTTGTTTTTAATTTTTATTTTAATTGTTTTAATAACAAATGCACTTAGTTTTATTTTTTATTACAAAAATATAATTAGTTGCATATTGAAAAAAAAAAAAAAAAAAAAAAATTCTTTTCGTTAATGAGAATTTAAAAAAGTCCGAATGGAATTTAAAAAAAAACACGCATCCAGCGCGACGTTTAGTGCATTACTGTCATGTGTACTGTTTTGAGAAGGAAAAATTCTCCCATTATATGTATATTAACATACAATTAATCAGTAACGCGGTACAAGTTATATTCTCTGAATATTTCGTTTGCCGCCACGAGTCTTTTGAGAGAAAAACGATTTGACGTTGAAAAGTGTAGAAATAAGCGCAAGTCATTGCGCATTTCCTAGCAATAATAATTGCTTTTGTGACGTTGGTTCGTGATTCGAGAAACGACGCGTTTCAACATTTCGTTTTTTGCATGTTAACAGTATATAGAAATTTTCTCAAGAATATTAACTATATGGAGAAAATCAAAAGAAAAAAAAAAAAAAAAACATGAAAAAAATTGGCAAAAATATATTTTTTAAAAATTACAATTTCAATTCTCAATTTATGTAAATTCAATATTTGCATTTAATTGAGGTTTATTATTATTTTTTTTTTTTGATTGGATAAATTTTTCATTTGAACCAAATTTCCCTCATTGGACAGAATTTTCAATTTACCTAATTAAATTTCCATTTACCTGAATATTAATTTTTAATAATTAAATTTTTATTTTAATGAATTTCCAAATAATTGACTTTTTATATCAATAGGTTCGAATTTTATTTTTGCAAAAAATTTTTTATTTTCCATCTAAATTTCCAATAAATATATTATTAATATGTTTTATTTTAGTAAATTTAAACTCAACTAAAACTATTGTTTAGAAACAAATTTCTATTTAATTGAATTTTAATTTTAGAAAATTTCTATACTTTCATTGATTTTTAATTTTTGTGAAAATTTCTATTTGATCGGAATTTTCCATTTAAAGATAAATAAATTTCGTAAAATATGGTGAATTTTTAAAGTTTCTGTTTTCAATGTTACATTTTTAAGAAGAGAGTATATATATATTTATTTTTGACATTTATTTTACTTTCGTGACGTTAAAAACTACGTCACAATCGGCGATCTTAATTATTTTAAATAATACGGCTGATGTACCAATTACGTCACACGCCTACACATTAAATTATTATTATTATTATTATCATCGCTAATAATTTATATTAATTTTTAGTAATTAAAAAAAAAAAATGTAAATAGAACGTTTTTCAAATTTTTTAATATTTTGTTTTTTAGCTAATTTCAGTATGTGTCATTTTGGTTTTTTAATTCTAAATTTTGTAAAGTAATAAAAAAAAAAAATTCCACAAATATGATAATTTCTTTTTTCTTACATCACAAAAAGATTTAAATAAATTTTTTATCGGATATTTTTCGATTATATTATAATATATTTGAGGGAAGTCCAAAAAGGTAATCTTCATTTTTCAGATAAATTCGTAATCAACAATTTTGACTTTTTAAAATTTTTTTCGTTTTTGTAAATTATTATTATTATTATTATTATTATTATTATTATTATTAAAACATAATATTAAATTAGATTTTCGTGTTTATAGAAAAATTAATTTTTTATAGAACAAGAGCAATATGATTATTATTTAATTATTAAAATTTAATTGAAAAAAAAAAATAATAATTGATACCATGTCTGATAAAACATCGAAAAAATCAGGTATAATAATACAATTTGAGTAAAGGAAAAAAAAACAATTCAATTAATAAAATATTATAATATTTATAATTAAAGATGTTGAAATTATTTTTTTTTCCCCCTATCAATAATTAATATAGGACAGAAAGCTGATGATAAAAATTCATCGAGTAAAGGAAATAAAAATGCAAAAAATTCCCCGCCTCCTTCAAAAAATAATGCAACTGATGAATCAAATTCAGAAAATCCTTGTGATGAGGAATCAATGGCTATGAAATTTTTTAATAATTTTCGTGAAAAATATTTTAAACCTAAAGAGGAACCGGAAGAATAAAAAAAAATTACTTAAATTAAAAGAAAAAACATTGAAAACTAATTGAAAATATCTATTTAAATTTGTAAGAAATAAATATTAATCACATTTTATTTTTATAATAATAAAATAATAATAATAAAAATAATAATAATAATAATAATATGTATTATAAATACCTATTATAAATAGTATTATATTTATTATTATTAATATATTACTATTATTAACATTAATATTGTTAGCAAATGAAAAAAAAAATCAAAAGTAGAAACATATTTTAAATTGGCTTATATCATTAAAATTGTAGTAATGGTCTATTTTGAACTTTGACCTTGTGTGAATTATTCATTGGGATTCAATAACCGTGGTTTAATATGCAAAAGTTTCTATTCCCAGTAACTTAAATTTTATTCACGAAAGTTGGAAATGTTTTTTTTTTTTTTAAAAAAAGCCATAGAATAATATTAATAATAAAAATTTTCAAATAACTTTATTTTAAGTAAAAATTAACTAAAAATATAAACTTTTATTTTATAAAAAAAAAAAAAAACGATAAAATTTAATAATCTAAACTAAAATATAAAAAAATCAAATGACCATTGCTAGGGAATTTTAGTCTTATTAGTTATTTTTTAATAAAAATTATTTTTTATACACAAAGAATTTAAATTTGAATTTTTAAAAAATATTTTACGTTCAATTTTTTGTTTCCTTTAAAAAAAAAAAAAAAGAATGTTCATTTTAATATTAGGAAATTCATGTAAGTTATTTTGTCTACAGTCTTATGACGACATTATTAATTTATCACAGTGACATAATCACTTTCAGGAATTTAATTAACAAACCAAAAAAAAAAAAGGAATCAATTTTGCTAATTATCTTCCTCGACAATAAAATTAATAATATATAATTACAAGGTAAATACATGACAACAATAAATATATATAATTTATAAACTACGTTAAAAAAAATTTTAAGAATTTAAATTATCAAAATAATATGCACTTTGTTTAAAAATTCTCACGAAATGAAAATATATATAAAAAATTTCTAACCTATAAATGTTAAAATTATAAATAAAATTTTTTGTTTATCTTTATACTGTAATTATATATATTATAAAGTGGAATATGATAAAGTCACGTGACTGTAAAATGTGTTTACTAGTTATTTTTGAAAGGAAAAATGTTTAATGAAAATGTAGATATTATTTATCAGTGCGCAACTACAATAAAATACCACTTGTTGGAGTTGGGAATTTTTTTTTTTTTTTTTTTTTTCTTTTAACTTACCGGTATAAAATGTGATCCTCGTTTTTGTCGGTCAATGGCAACAGGGTGCCTACGTGCCGAATTCACTGATGTTTTATTTTATTTTTTCTTTTCTCGTCGACTTTATATAGATATGCAAGTACCAGTGTCGTCACTGTAATATTATCTTTTAATTATTATGTTCATCAGAATTGCACCAAGATATAAATTTAAACAAAAATTTAGATAATTTTATAAATTAAAAATTTCTTTATTTAAGATAATAACTTTGATTTTTCACATAGAAATTTATTAAACGAGTATAAAAATATTTAGAATATTTGTATGTTTATATGTATATATATATAGTGTGTCTGGTATTCTTAAACACGTTGATTCAAAATATTATCATAATTAACAATATAAAGAGATTATTTTCTATTGAAACGTCACTGTGAAAAATTCGAATTTTTACTAAAATAAGAAAATATTTGAGTTTCTATGTGAAAAATTAATATAAAATAAATTGATCAACAGACTGACACTGAAAGTAAACTGAACTTGGGACCGAGAGCAATAAAAAAAAAAACTTGCCAGCCAGCCGCTGAAAACGTGTCTGACAGGCTTATGATGCATTCATACCTCTTGTCAATTGTGGGAGGTGGGGAGGAAATAAAAAAAAAACATAAAAAAAACATGTTCAAATCTGATAGGCTCTGTTTAAATATAGAACCAATGAAATTTAATAATTTTTTGAAATTTTGTCCCGTAGGTGTGAGAGCGCCTTTAATATTTTCATCAAGCAATAAAAATTTAGCGGGTACTTTCAAATATGTCTTACAAAATCGTGTAGTATAACAATTTTAAAGAAAGTTATTGTTTAATTTAAGGAAATAAATAAAATACCATTTAAATGTAATATATTTACATTTATTAACTTAATATATTTTTAGAGATAATATATTATTATTGCAAATAATTTGTTGCAAAAAAAACTTCGGAGATATCTTTATAAATTTATTTAATTTATTAATTAAAAGTAAATAAAATACAAACATAATTATTTTAATTTTTATTCTTATTATATTATTATTATTTTATAATAATTATTTATTCATTTTTGAAAACTGAGAAATATATTGGCAACACTGATTACAGTGTCATATATATGATCTGTGACCAAGTTCAGTTTGAACAAAAACAAAGCTTATGTGTTATTTGTCAATTTTCTAACACGAAATTTCTGAATATTTGCAATATTATCAATTAATTTGTTTAGTTTATTTATAAGTTTTTGAAAAATGACAACAGCAGCTCGTCCAACATTCGATCCAGCTAGAGGCGGACAAGGTCGTGGTGAAAAAGATTTAAGTGCACTCTCGAAACAATACAGTTCTCGTGATCTTCCTTCTCACACTAAATTAAAATACAGGTAAGTTTCTAAAATATAATTACAAATTGTGAAATTTTGTCTATTTTACTTTTATATTGAAACAAATTTTATATTACGTATATATATAAATTATAAATATGGGCAATATTTGTTAAAACATAACCTCTAAATTGTCGTCCCAAATTTTGTGTTTTATTATTTCCAGCTGTGTATAGATTTTTAAATTTAATTGAAGAATTTTCTTAATTTTATGACAAATTTTTGCGTTATTTTATTTATTTATTTAGAGAACATGGACAGAATTCGGCCTCTGAGCTTAGAAATAAAGATTTTCGCAAAGAATTGGAAGATCGAGAAAAGGAACGTGACAAGGATAAGACGTCGAATCGTCGTATGATTGAACCTGAAAGAAGTTCAGCGCCTTCAAATAAACGGCAAAAAGTGGATCAAGTTCCTGCAGCAAGTCTCGATGCTGATGATCCTTTAGATGAAAATGAATCTGATTCTGATAGTGACGATGACGATACTGCTGCTCTTATGGCAGAATTACAACGAATTCAAAGAGAACGGGCAGCTGAGCAAGAGAAAAAGGTATTTTTTCAGGGAAATTTCATTTTCTTTTTTTTTTTAAATTCAATTTCACTGTTTTTCTACTTTTAAAGAGCTTTAGTAGATAAAAAAATTCAAAATTTATATAATTTTCAATTTTATTTAATTTCTAAATTATAATACTTTAAATTATTAATAATTTATCACTAATTATGCAAAAATATGTTAAATTTTATAATTTATTACATGTAAAATACATTTTTAAAAAAATATTATTACAATTAAGTTAACATTTTTCAAAAAGTTTTCATCCAGGAATAAGAAATGAAGAATAAAAAGCTACGAAACAAACTAAAATAATTACTAATTAATAAAGAATAAATATAAATAATTTATATATATTATAAATTGTATTATATTTATTTTATATTTTTATTTATAATTTATTAATTAATTAATTCTAGTATAAATAATAAATAAATGTAAAAACAAAATTTTTGATTTCAGGAATTGGAGAAAAGACAAGAAGAAGAAAGAATACGAATGGAAAATATTCTTTCTGGAAATCCTCTTTTAAATTACTCATCGCAGGCAAGTCGTTCTGATTTAAAAGTAAGACGCCGATGGGACGACGATGTTGTATTCAAAAATTGTGCACGATCCGAGCCAAAAAAGAAGCACGAAGTTTTCATTAATGATTCCCTACGAAGTGAATTTCATCGAAAATTTATGGACAAGTACGTTAAATAATTAATTAGATTATTATTATTATTATTATTAATTTTTATTACAAAAAATAATCGACTTTTCTACAAAAAAGTGTCGTATTTAACGAAACAAAAAAATCACTTCTGTTATAGGAATTATATTCTTAGATATATTATTATAATTATCGTATAATAATTGGAAAATTAAAATATCTAAATTTAAAATAGAAATAAAATACAATTAAGTTATAATTGTATATTGTATAATAATAAGATCGTCGATAATAAATGAAATTGATTTTTTGTCTTTTCACAATTAAAGTTAAGTTTTCTTTTTTCTTTTCAGTTAAATTTGTTTCTTTATTGAAGATTTGAAATATCTATAAAATATTTCGAAAACATTTTTTAACTTTTGAATTGAGGAATTAAATATTTTTTCAATATAATAATATTTTAGATAATTAAAAAAAAAAATTAGATAATAAAATTGCGTTTTGCATATCAAATAATGTTAATGAAAGATATTTTAATTTTTTTTAGTTTTATTTACACTTATTTTAATATTTATTTATTTTACTGATTCAATAGTTACTTATTTTACTGATTAAATATTTATTTAATTTACTGATTCAGTTATTTTTCAGTTATTTTTAATTTTATTAATGAATTTTAATGAAAAATTTCATGAATACAGAAATTAAAATTTCGTAAAACAAATTCAATTTAAATTAAACCTTTGATTGAAAAAAAAATTTATTATTAGGTAGAAATTCGGTAAAATAATTCTGGTAAATGGAAATTTAAGTAAGTGAATCTTCGAATAATAAATTAAATTAAAAAACAATTTTGCTAAATTAACAATTTTTTTTTAAACGAAATTTTGAAGAAAAATAATTTAAATTTAATAAATAAAATACAAATTTTATTAAAGAGAAATTTTTATTCAATACAAATTCGATGAACTATAAACTCTATATTTTATAAAAATTCTGCTAAACCGAAATTAGGTAATTTGAAATTTGCCGTCACGAAAATTCTTCTAAATGACATGAACATTCATGAATTCTCAGTTAAATGGAATTTCGGTGATTGAAAAAAATCTATTATACAAAAAATTCATTCTAATTGAAAATTTGGTTAAATATGAAAATTTTTTTTAAATTAAATTTTGATTCAATAGAAATTTGATAGAAAATCGATTAAAAATTTAACTTGTCGAAAATTTGTTAAAAATAATTTTTATACAGTTAATTCATGTTCTGCAAATTTTCAACGTTCAAATGAACGAAAAATTTGTAAACTAATTTTTTTAATTTCAAATTTTGGACGCATTTGATTAAAAATAATTCGAATTTTTATTTTAAAGTATTTTTTTTTTTTTAAATAATTGTTTTTTTTTTTGACGAATTTTTATTGTTCGAATTAGCATTTGACAGAATTTTTTTTATACAAATTTTTGTCTTAACAAAATTTTTAGCTATCGAATGAGAATTCTGTTAAAAAATTCTTTTAAATAAAAATTTATGTAAAGAAAATGACTATAAAATAAAAATTCTGTGAAAAATTCGATAGCTAAAAATTTTTTAACATAAAAATTCGTATAAAAAGAAAATCTTTCGAATTTTAATTTGAAAATTTGGAAATTCGTGTAAAAAATAATTATTTTCTACACTAATTTAAAATTATCAAATTGAAACTGAAAATATCAAATTGATCAAAAAATTTTTTTTATCAATTTGTTATTTTTATTGTTATCAATTTAATAATTTTAAATTAGTATGTAATGAAATTCTTTATAAAGCAAAAATTCTAATTAATTGATTTTTATAAGAAATTCATGCTCCTCAATTAATGGTTTTTGTAACAAAAAAATAAATTAATAATAATTGTTTATTTTTCACAGCAGGAGTAATTTTTTTGAAAAAATTTATAGACCCAAATTATATGATTTCTATACATTTTGAATGTTCAGAACTTTAATATGTTAATTCTGTTATAGAAAATCGAACTTTTTTAAAAAAAAATCTCTATGGCAAAACAGAAATGTAATAAACGAAATATTTTGAACCTGTGCGATATTTCTACGTTAATGAGGAAAAGTATACACTTATAATGAACATTATAGAGGGAAAGTGGAACATTTATAAATGATTTGTGTGTTATTGAGAGGTGTATATATATATATATATATATATGAGTGTTGAAAAAGCAATGACTAGCGGAGTGGTACTCGCACGTGCGATCTCTTATATAGGAAAGAATCGCGTGCTCGCCTTCCGGCTGATTTTATATTTGAAGAGGGCCCCTTGGAGCCACAGTGGGATCAACAAAGAGGTCGTTAAGTTCTTTGTATATGCGTGGAATGAGAGAAGAAGTAATAAAAGCGCAAAGCGCGAGCTATGTTAGTGAGCGGAGAAACATAAGGAATGAGGACGGGACCGTGGAATTGCACACACACACAGACATACACACATAAGAATATACGAGTATTTCTTTCGGTAGCGGGTCTCCGATCCGAGCCGGTCTCTCCTGAGAGCGTAAAGCGTAAAAGCGCTGGGTCAAGTATAACCGGTCCCATGGGTTCCGAGAGCCAGAGGCAAGCAGTCTACCGCCTCCCGCTGCCGATGGAATGGGTCTTGGAAATACACAGCTGGTACATTATACATATCTTCGAGACGAGGGTAGACTCTCTGGCACCGCGACCTGGCCAACTAACGTGTCCCGATCCCTTTTTTTCACCATCATAGAGCTCCTCCAAGACGAGAGGCGCTGAGCGCATTAATGATAATATATAAAATTTTGATTAAATCATCAGAATTATCATTGTATCGAATATAGGTATATTCAAATGTTGAAATTTAGCCGAATTTTCTCTTTATAATGTTGAATGCAAATTTTATTTTGCTGCATATATAGTTTTATATAAAACTAAATTATCGACGAACGAAATTTTCAACTCGAAATTTCTATTTTTTTAAAGCAACTTTTCGGTTAATATAATTTTTATTTAACTGAACTTTCATTTGGCAGAATTTTTATTTAGTAAAATGGAAATTTGGTATAGAATTTTTTATTAACGAAATTTTTTATCAACCGAATTTTTTTCTTTTCATTTTTTTAAGCAACTTTTCGGTGAATATAATTTTTATTTAACTGAAATTTCATTTGGCAGAATTTTTATTTAGTAAAATGAAAATTTGGTAGAATTTTTTATTAACGAGATTTTTTATCAACTGAATTTTTTTCTTTTCAGTGAATAATATATAGATAGAATTTTTATTTAATGACAATTAAATTTAGCAGAATTTTCTTTCAGTAAAATGAGAATTCAGTGGAATTTTTAATTAACAGGTTTTTTATTCGAATGAATTTTTATTTAACCAAATTTTATACAATGCAGAATTTTCATTCTATGCAAAATTTTACTTGAATTTTATTTTTACTTAACTTAAATTTTACTTTGCCGCACAGTTTCATATATATTTGTTCTGATGTAGATATTAATCAAACTGAATTATCGATAAATGAAATTTTTCATCGAAATTTCTATACCTTTTAAGTATAACTTTTCGATAAATAGATTTTTTATTTAACCAAAATTTCATTTGACAGAATTTTCATTCAGTAAAATGGAAATTTAGTAGAATTTTTAATTAACGGGATTTTTATTTAATTGAATTTTCATTTAACCCAATTTTCATTAAATAGAATTTCTATTCAACCAAATTTTATAGGTACAATGCAGAATTTTCATTCCATGGAAATTTAACTTAAATTTTACTTTATCACAGTTTTCATATTTGCCCTCTGATATAGAAATTAATTTTACTGAATTTTTGGTAAACGGAATTTTTAATTAATTTAATTTCTGCATATATTTCTCTCAATTTTAATAAAAGAGAATTTTTATTTCAATGAATATTTATTAGAACAAATTTTTATTTAACCGAATTGTTATTTCACAGAGCTTTTATTTAGACGAATTTTTTTATTAAATACAATTATTCTTATATCGAATTTTATTTCACTGAATTTTCATTTTATTTCTTAAGCAACTTTTCAGTGATTATAATTTTTATTTAACCGAATTGTTATTTCACAGAGCTTTTATTTAGACGAATTTTTTTATTAAATACAATTATTCTTATATCGAATTTTATTTCACTGAATTTTCATTTTATTTCTTAAGCAACTTTTCAGTGATTATAATTTTTATTTAACCGTAATTTGATTTGGCAGAATTTTCTTTTTTATAAAATGAAAATTTTGTAGAATTTTTAATTAACGGGATTTTTAATAAACCGAATTTTTATTTAGCTGAAATATATAACCGAATTTCCAATTAAATAGAATTTCTATATATTTATTACTGAGAATTAAATCTGCTTCGAAATTCTATATTTTATGTTATATTTAATTTTATTTTATCGAATTTTTGTTTTAACAAAATTATATTTGATCGCAGTTTTTAGAATTTTCATTTATTTAAATCTTCGCATTTATAGGGAAATTTCTATTTTTACGAATATTAATTTACCTCTATTTTATAATGCAGAAAAATTTTGATCTAACGTAATTTTTATTAAGCTAAATTTTCATTAAATATATCAGAATTTAATTCTTGGAATTTTAAATTAATTAACAGAGTAAATTCTTTATAGCGCAAATTCTATAGTTTCATCGCATTTTTATTTAACATCATTTTCATTTGGCTAAAATTAATATTTAACTCAATTTTCATAAAACGAAATTTTTAATCAAATTTTTACTTCCTCCAATTTTTATTTAACTGCGATTTTTTAACTAAGGCAATTTTTATTTTACGCAAAATTTTTAATAGACTTTTTAATTGACGAAATTTTTTATTAAACCGAATTTTTAGGAAACGTAATTTTTACAAAACAAAATTTGTTATACTTAATAATGAATTTTTGCATATTTATCTCAAAATTTTAATATAAGAGAACTTGGTTTATTTAGCCGAATATTTATTAGAACGAATTTTCATTTAACCGATCATTCTTATATAATATTTAACAAAGGTTTCATTAAGCCAATTTTTTATTCATTATAATTCTTATTAGATCAAATTTTCATCCAGCAAAATTTTTATTTAACATAGAATTTCTACTTAGCCCAATTTTTAATTGCAAAAATTTTTATTTCACCGAATTTTCATATTAATTTCGATTGGACAGAATTTTTATGAAATTTTTGAATATTAAAAATAAATTTACTTTTTAAATCATTATAAGTTTGAAAATTTTATTAAATTAAAATTCAATAAGAAATTTAGATAATTTTTTTTTGTTTTTGATATTTTTTTGTCAGTAATGAAATTTTTTTTTATATATAGAGGTATACTTTTATATATAAGGGATTAAGAGATTTTGAAGTTTTTATTTAATGATTGCAAAATGGGTTTTTTTTTCCTCTCTTTTTTTTTGTAGTAGGGGGAAAAAAAATGACGATGTCCGGAAATTGCAGGAAATATTTCTCTCCCCACTTCATCGCGCACAAATCTTTCCAAGATTCCTGATCCGCTCATCTGGAATTCGCCTCCGGGGCACTTTCCTTCTCTTTCTGCTCTTTTTTTCTCATTTACCTCCCATCTATATACACACACGCGCGTCTTTTATTTACTTTATTTATTCTTCTTGCCATAGCAAGCGCGAGGTGTATGCCTGTCTCTCATCCCAGTAGAGTTTCGTATTCTCCTCCTGCAGCAAATAAGATGACGATTCAGGGCTGTAGATCTTTCTTGTTATATATGTATATGCATATATATATACATGTAACTGTATTTAATAAATTTCACCATCAAATATATAAAAACAATTTATTTTTATATTTTTTAAATCGAAATAGTTAATTTAAATATAAATTTTCACTTTAATTAATTCACTTAATATTATTTAAATCTTATAATTTAATTTTTTTTTGCCTTGCAATGATTTTGCAATTTTCGTTTTTAAGTGTCAATTTTGTTAGATATTTAAATTTTTTCCTTTGAAAAAAAAATATGAGAATTTTTCTGTATTGCTAAATTGTCTTTTGAATTTAATAAATTCCACAAAATATATAAATATTTCGTGGGCTTGATATTTTTGCAAAAAAAAAAAAATGAGAATTTTTCTAAATTGCTAAATTTGCTAATTAATTTAATGCTAAATTAAATTAAATAAATTCCATAAAATATTTTATTTATTTAATATAGACGGGCATATTTTTAAATATTAAAAAAAAAATTTTTTTTAGTGACAAATTTTTTATATTAACAATATTGAGTTTGTTTTTTAATTATTGATTATAATAGTATCGATTAATTTCAAAATTGAATAATTATTTTTGCGTTCTGTTTAAAAATATAATATTGTAATACTATTCTGAAAAAATTTGTGTTAACAAAAAAAATTAAAATTAAAATTTAAATAAATTTCTATTATTTGTATTTTTAATATATGATAATAATATTCATTTTTTAATATTTATTTATAGGATCATAAAATCGTACAAAAAGTACTAAAAGAAAATATTTTAATATTAAAATATTAATAGTTCATATTATTTATAATATTGTTATTAAAATATTTTATAAATATTAATATATTTTTTAATTAATAATTTATAAATTTTTTTTTTAATTCAAAAATAATATTCAAAAATAATTTTAAAATAAAAATTTAATGTAATGTATTTATGTTAAATTACTTGCATTTTGTAATACAATTAATAGAATGTTTTCCGTTTTGATTGAGACTTAAAAAAAAAAAATTTCAATTTGATTTAAATAATTGAAACTTTAATTTGAATTTTTTTTTTTTTTTTTTTTCGAAAAATGGATGTTTTATTTCGTTTGACCGCCATTGCATTCTGATTGTTCAGCAGCCCTGATCCTTCTCGCTACTTTAAAGAAGAATGGTCTGTACACGCCTACTCTTCGACAGAGGCGGTCCTATTTCTATGAATCAGGAACGTATTCCCTTGGCACGCGAGAGATAAAATAACTTTAAAAAAAAGATACAAAATAATTTTTTCAAAAATTAACAAAAAAAAACGAAACGAAACGATTTCAAAATATCTGTTTCTTTTAATTTGTTTTTTTAGGTTGACATAATTTTAAAATTATAAACTCGATATTCTCAAATTGACGGTTAAAAAAATTATAAATTAATCTTAGTTTATTTTTTTATATTAATTAAATTTAGAATGAAATTAAAAAACAAAACAATATAATATTTATTATTATTTTATTATTATTTATAAATACTTTCATATACTTTTAAATTATCTGTAAAAAGGAGTGTCGTTTAAAAAATCATTTTCGTTTTTTATTCATATAGTTATTAAAATATTTTTCCTAAATTTTATTAGAATTATTTATTTAAATATAAATATTAAATATAATTTTTAAATAATTATAAATTATTTTTTATGATAAATTTTGACGTTCAAAAAAATGTTGTAAATTATATTAACAAGCCTGACGCACTGAAAGAAGTGCTATATATATATATGTATAACTATAAAGTTTGATGCTGTGTGTTGGCGTAACTAATTTTCGGCTCGACCTTGTCATTACCTTGTCCTAAGAGACTTTCTTTCTCATATTTCTTTCGTGAGATTCTTTAGGGAGATTAAATCTTCAAAGAGAGAACCCAGGAAATCTTGTAATTCAAATATATACACATATATGTGCACGTATACGTGGTGTAATTTCACTTTAATTCTAAAAAAGTTGAAACCGCATTCAAAAACTGGTTCAAAAATTGAAAAATCTCATAAATTATGTAAAAATTAATGACTTATTTATCATTTTTTCAATTTCTCTCTCAAAAGAGAAAATTCCTTTTTTTTAAATTTTTAATTACTTAATTTTTTTTAAATTCATAATTACTATTTTTTTTTAAATTTTTAATTACTAATTTTTTTTAAATTTATAATTACTATTTTTTTAAAAATTTTTAATTAATAATTTTTTTTTTAATTTTTAATTAATAATTTTTTTAAAATTTTTAATTACTAATTTTTATTTTTAAATCGATTCTTAAAATTTATAATTTAAATTATTTATTACTAAAATGTTCACATTTTTCGATGGAAAAAAAATGGAAACTTTTAATTTATTATGGAATTATTATATTTTACCTATATTTATGTATTTATTTTTTTAAGTATTTTATTTTTGAAGATTTGTAATATTTTGTAACAATTACATATATGAGTCTTAAGACTGGTAAATTAATTTTCAAGTGGGAAAATTCAGATAAGTAAATGTTTTAATTTTTTTTAATATATTTTATTTTAAATAATTGTTTTTTATATTATACATTTTTTATTAATTTTTAAAGTTCTTTTCAGTTCTAACACTTTTTTTTTGCCATAAGATAAAATTAAAGTTATTTAGGATCAAGAACGAACAAATTTTGGACGATTGAAAAAGGAATTATAAATTATACAAAGACGTATTCAATATGCGATTGAGCAATTAAAATCTTATCAAGATGTCACCGATTTTGGAGAAAGAAAATTCAACTGTAAAGGTAATTTCCCTTTTTTTCTATATTTTACAAGATATTCAATTTTTTTTTTTTATTTTCTTTAATAAGTAAACAGACAGCAGCCTTTAAAATACCAAAAAGAAATAAAAATTATTTTATCATATAAATTAAATTTTTATAATTTATTCGAAATTTCTAATTAATTAAATTAAAAAACTAAATAAATATGATTAATTAAAAATAATTTTTTTTTTAAATTCACTCAATGGCAATGAAATTGAATGTTGAAAGAAAGAAAAAAAAAGTGGAATAATTTCGTAAATGTGTAAATTTGATTTTCGTTTAAGAGCCAAAAAAAATGAAATGAATAATTATTGTAGATAATTTAAAATGAAAATGAAGGGAACCGTCTGGTGAAACTACGTACCTGGGAGGCGGTGGTGAAGCTGGAGGCCTCATGAGGAACATTACGGACAACAGAGGAGGTGTATAGTAGATACGGCCAAACGGCGATCGGGCCAGACAAACAGACTCTTGAAATTGCGGAGAGCCGTGCAGTGCAGTGGTCACCGAGTCGTCGTCAGTGGTGAACGGATAGTGTTGTGACCGGACGACAGGTAAAAAAAACGGACGTTAAAATTTAAATCGCGAAAAAAAATTAAAAGTTGCTCTTTTTTTTTCATATTGTGATAAGAAAATAATTTCAATTTTGAAAATCTAATAAAATTAAAAAAAAAAAAAAAAATAGAAAGGAATAATAAAAAAAAAAAGTACTAATAATAAAAAATAGAAACAAATTTTTTAAAAAAATTTTTAGTTTAGCAAAAATAACAAAAGGACGAATGCCTCCCTCAGGACCTTGAGGGAGAGGAAGAAGGAAGACGCGACGATCCGCAGGACGAAAAGAAACAAGTGGAAAATTTCCGCGCGGCAATGTTGTTTCGTCAGGATGGGACTCGTCGAGTCCTCATTATTTATTGTTCCTGGCTAATGATATTTAGTGTATTGCTATTGGATAAAGTTGTTGAAATCAGTGGTAAAAGAATGAGTGGACTTTATATTGACAATGGTTATGATCAAACGGTGATACATCGATTGGTATCACAACAGGAGAAACGTGAAGTCGAGCACGAGATATTGAATCTTCTTGGATTGCCGGACAGGCCGAAACATGTCATTCATCGACCGCCTCAGGTGAAGAGGTCCGCTCCCAAGTTTCTCTTGGACATCTATAAGAATGCTCTTGGCGAGGACGAGAATGAGAATAAACCGGTCGACGTCAAGCAACAAGGAAAGCATGGCGAGTTCAACTTGTCCGGTCAGGATCTGCGGGCCATCGACCAGAGCGATGTCATCATGACGTTTGCCTCACACAGTGAGTGATTTCTTCATTATATATATATAATTTTTTTTAAATATAATATATACAGGCCTCGGATTACACTTTTTCAACATTTTTTTTACAAAATTTTTAAAGAAACTGTGTCTTTTTTAGAATACAATGCAGAACTTCAGATTTTCTTTATTATTTCACTAGTTTTTTTTAAACTAAAATTCTTTTCTAAATTAATTATTTTTTCAATAATTTCAATTAAATTATTGAAAATTATTATTATTATTATTCAATTATTCTAAACTATTTTTCAATTAAAAATTTTATTAAATTCAAATAATTCCTTCAGGATATTATGAGACAAAAGTTTTGAACGTTCAAATGAACGAAATTTTTTTTGCAACTTTTTTAAGTACTAATTTTATTAGAAAATATTTATTTTAATTATCTAAAGGAAGTTATTAATTTAATAATTGTTTAATTTATTGTTTTATTTTATATTTTCATGATAATTTTTAATAATTTATAGAATTGAAAAAAATATTTCGTTCATTTGAACGTTCAGAACTTTTGGCTCATAGGATATTCTGGATTAATATTTAAATACTGAATTGTTTACAAAACTACTTTTGTCCAAAATATCCTGAAGAAATTATTTTATATTTATTATAATAGTGAATTAAAAAATTCCACTTCAAATTGAATAATTGTTTAAAATTTGAAAAAAAATGAGTAAATAAAATTACAGAAAATTTTCAATTCAAAATTATTTGATAAAATATTTTCAATTCTGTAAAATTTAATTATTTTCGGAAATTTAACAAAAATCTGTTGAAATTCAATTATTTCTAAAAGTTTCAACTGTAACTCATCGAAAATTCAATTATTTTCAATGATTTTTATAATTTTCTTTCTAAAATTCAATTATTTGAATTATTCTTCAACAAGAGAAATCACCGCAAATTTCACATGCTACAACATTTCAATCAAAAATCACTTAAAGTTCAATTTTTTTCAAATTATTTGATAAATTATTTTTAATTCTGTAAAATTTAATGATTTTCTGAAATTTAACATCTCTTGAAATTCCAATTATTTTCGAAAATTTCAATTTAAAACCTTCTAAAATTTATCATCTAAAACTTTATGAAATTTAATAATTTCAATTATAACTCTTTCTAAAATTCAATTATTTGAAGCATTTTTCAATTAAAAATTTTTGAAATTACATTTTTGTATGTAATTTCTAATAAATATTTGTTCAGCAACAGAAATCATAAAAAATTTCAATCAAAAATCACTTGAAATTCAATTATTTTCAAAAATTTGAATTGTAAATCTTTGAAAATTTAATTATTTATAAAAAATTTTGTCTAATATTATTCCATGAATTTATTTTCAATTTTGTAAAATTTAATAATTATTGTCTGAAGTTAAAAAAAAAATTTTAATTCAATTATTTCTAATAATTGTAACTGTAACTCTTCCAAGATTCAATTATTTTTAATAATTTTAATATTTCTTTAAAAATTCAATTATTTAAAAGAGTTTCAAATAAAAACTCCAAAATTGAATTGTTGTCAGAAATAAAAAAAAAATAACTACAGCAGTTTAAATTTGCGAAAAATTTATATGTATTAATTTTTAAATCTGACAGAATTCTTCAAAAATGTCAAATTTTTATTTAAGAAAACTTTTCATTTGTTTCTAATAGACATTAGGAAAAAATTTTTCGGCTCGCGAATTTTAAAATTGATTAATCACAATTTTACTTAATTAATCTGATTGGTTAATTTTTGTAATTCGTGCAAAAATGTTTACGCCAAATATTCATTCGAACAAATGAAGATTCAATGAAATGATAAATTATAAATTTAAATTCAGTAAAATAAATATGAATTTCATTTGAAAATTTTATTAAACAAAAATTACGTTTAAGAAAAACAAAATTGAAATTCTTTTATTGACACTGAAATTTCAATCCAAAAAAATTCTGCTAAATAAAAATGAAATTGCGCGAAAATAAATTCTCTTCAATGAAATAATTTCGTTTAATTCCCGAATTTTTAGCCAATAAAATTTTAATAAATTTGAAAAAATTGATACTTTAATCCTAAATTATTTAATGCTTCAGTGGAAAAAAAATTCGAGAAAAAAAAATTATTAATTAAATTCGTTATTACGTTATGAGAGGCCAACGTGGATCCTAATTGATTGTCCAGTTTCGATGGTATACGCGATTTATGCGGGTCGCAACCATATGGTGAATTTTTCAAACGCCTTTTAAATAGTATCCTTCACTATATGGCAAAAAATGTATAAAGCTTCCAAAATATTTGCTTTTCATTTCAGAATATTTTTAGAACCCTTGTCTTAAAATATTTTAAAACACCTTAAATTATCTTGTATACGAGAGTCGATGAGTTGTACCTCAATTAACCACCTGGAGTTATTAGATTTTGCCTTTTTTGCGATAAAAATCTTAAACGCGCTCTTTTACTAATTGATATTGTTTTATTGATTACTCGACACAATATTGCCAGATGTGATATAGAATAGATTTAAAAAAAATTTTTTTTTTCTTTCCCAATTAAAAATTATAAATCAAAAAATTGACGATTATGAATTTTTTTTTGGAATTGAAAAATCGTTAAATAAGATTTCAATTTATCGGAAAAATTTAAATAAATGTTTATTTAATTGAATTTCTATTTTAATCGAAATTTTATATTTCATTCATTGGAATTTTAAAATTTATTCTATTTTTTCAGTTTTAATTTAACCTAATTTTTTACTAAAATTTCATTGGGCAGAAATTCAATTTAATTTTCAATAGAAATTTATTTGTATAACTTTATTTTTATTTTGGCAGAATTTTTTTATTTAGAGGAATTTCTATTGAATTTACGGAATTTAATTTTTATAAAACATAATTTTTATTTAATACAATATCCGCAAAGAAAAACGAATATTGTACGGAATTTCAATTTCCGATTATATAAAATTAAAATTATATAAAAATATTTTTCTATACAAATTATTATTTTTGAACTAAAAAATTTTTTTGCAACATTTCTTGATCAATAATTTAAAAAACAATTTGTAGGCAAAAAATTAGTTATTATTTTTTTATTTGATCGAATTTCCCATCTAGTAAATTTATTCGATTCTCGTGAATAAATGGAAATTCGATTAAAAAGTACTTTTACTATTTTTGATTTCATTATCAAATTAAAAATTCCATCAAATGGATATTTGGATTATTAAAAATATATTCTTTCTAATTATCTTATTTTATTTTACCAGATTTGAATTAAAATTTTATTTTGTAATTTTTTTAGGAAATATTTTTTATAACCGTTTCTTTTTTTGTAATACATATAGTCAAAGGCAAAGAATTTTTGAGAATCTTTTTTATTAATCAAATTAAAGACAAGAAATTATAAATTTCCAAGAAGAATTCTTAAAATCAATATTATAATATAAGGAATAAATGCTAAAATTCGTTGAACGCGAGAACCTTGCTATCTCTCTCTCTCTCTCTGTAAAACATAAAAGTTGCTAATAACAGGAATGAATCGTCTGCGTTTTTCTTTTCTTTCTTTCATTTCTTTTTTTTTTATGTTTCATTAGAATCTTTTTAGGCTCACCCCTTTTGGTGGTTTCTCTTTTCGACTTCATTCGCAATCTCCACCCACCGGCGCGGTTTAAAGACAAAAAGAAGAAAAGAAGACATCGAACGTGAGTGCGGGCCACCAAGTTGAGACATTTTTACCTGCTCGCGGCTCTTCGGACTGAGAAAGAGAGATATTGACTCATCTTCCTTTTGCAGAAGCAGAGAGAGGGGAGATAAACGACCGAAACTAAACGCGAATGGACGACCCGAAGTTATATATATATATATATATGGGGGGCCTCATCGGTTTCACACACGCATAATTTTACTGATCACAAATGCAAAATTTTCAATATGTCTCGTAAATATACACTTTACGAGGCATATGTACGATTTTTTTTTTTTTTTATTGTTTTTTTTTTTTGCACACCTTTACTTATTATTGTTGGCGCGTACACGGACGAAATATAATTCAATATTAAAACTGACTATGGTTCAGTAAAATTAAATTTGATCAAAGAATTTTTATTTATTCGTGACACGTGAATATGCCCCACAATTTTTTTTTTTTTAAGTAAAAATTTTTATTTGGCAGAATTTCAATAGAATTTTCTTTTAGCCGAATTTTCAAACAAATACAGAAAAAAATTTTGTTTTAGAATTTTTATTTAATCAAACTTTCATTTTGGCAGAATTTCTATATTCAAACAAAAAATAAATAAATTTTTATTTTGGAATTTTTATTTAACCGAACTTTCGTTTGGCAGAATTTCTATTCAATGGACTTTTTTTGTTTAGCACAATTCGTTATTTAACAGAATTTCAAATTCGAATTTGTAATTTTTGACAGAATTTTCATTTCATCGAATTTTTATTTGCACGAATTGTGATTGGTCAATTTTAATTAAATAACAATTCGAGCAAATAAAAATTTTGCTAAATGAAAAAGAATTTTGCATTTAAAAATTTGGTTATAAACGAAATTTTGTTAAATTTGAATTTTTTTAATTGAAAATTGGTAAACGATGCTGAAAACTTTACAACGTTTATGATCAACGATTTTTAAAGGAAATAATTTTTTGAAATGAAATTTTTTTATCAATTTTCGTCTAGAAAAATATTTTTTTTAATGTTTATTGATAAACAAATTTTTAGACAAAATTTTTATAAATTAAAGTTGAATAATTTTCTCGATTTTTTGGAAAGATAGAAATTAGAAAGAAAAAGTCTCCTTTTTCTCCCTTATTTTGTCATTACAACGTTTCTAGGGGAAATAATATGGAAAACTATGGAAGGAAAAATTTATCTTTAAATAAAAAAAAACAATTTTTTTTTAAATTATAAAAAAATAAATAAAAAATTTTGTTTCTAATCGAGAATCTGGAAGAAATAAAAACAAATCTCTCTCTCTCTCTTTTTGAGTTGACACTTGCAAATTGGTCCTTCCAAATCTAGAACTAAAATCTCGAATGCTGTTTATTCTTTACTCAATCACTATATATATACATATTTGATTTAGAATAACACTAATAAAAATATTTCATTTTGATTGATGTGATGCTTAATTTTGGAATATTTGAAAAATAAAACAAATAATTGGAAATATGAAAAAAAATAATAAAAATTATTTTTTTTTATTATATTTTATCGGTTTTAATGAAAATTTTCTATTTGGCCGATTTAAACCAATTTTCATTGAACACAACTCTTGTAGGATTTTCATTTAATGGAATTTCTATTAAATCGAATTTTTTATTTAATCGAAATTTTTTTTTAACTTAATTTTTTTTATTTAGTTAAATAAAAAATTTCGATTTAATTTTTTTCCCTATTTAACAGAAATGTCTGAATTGTTATTAAAAATTAAAAAATTTCTTAGCTGAAATTTTACTGTAAATTTCTATTTAAATAATGAATTTTTGTCCAGTAAAATTTCTATTTAATTTCTATTTTTTAATATCGTATACATATTTTTCGTTTCCTAAATTTAAAAACAAAAATTATTTATTTGCAATATTTTCTTTTGATGGAATTTCTGTGCAAAAAAAAATTTTTATTAATTACAATTTCTATATAAGATCCAATTTTATGTTTAATCAAATTTCCATTTGTCTGAATTGTTATATTAAAAATTTTTTCGCTATAAATTTCTACTTATTTTTTTCCATTTCTATATTTAAATAATATGAAGATATAAATTTTCAAAAATTGATAAATCCATATTTTGTTATTTCAAGAAATTAAAATAAATTAAATTTCTAGCAAAAAAAAATTATAAATTTTTCCATCAAAAAATACATTTATTATAAACACTGTTTAAATAATAAAAGACATTTCGAATAAAAAAAAAAAAAAAAAATGTATCGACTTTTGAAAATTTGCTCCTCAATAAATTTTCAGTCATTTTTATTTAATTTATATTTTTCTAAAATCGATATTTTTTTGGTCCCCTAACTTAAAAAAAAAATTATTTTTTTCAAATTTGCGAATTTTTGTCATCAAAAATAAATTTAAACACTAAATAATAAATACATTTCGAAAAAAAAATAAATAAAATTCACACACTAATGGAAATAAATTTGAAGGAATTGACGAATTGGACGATGACTCTTGATTTCTCTTCAACACTATGGCATCTGGTTCTCGCAAACTTTATCTATTTTTCCTTTGCGAAGAGTTTGGCACGCGCTTGTTTGGGACTTTGAAGCTGTGGACAAATGTATATGTGAACTCACATAATTGAGAAGAAGCAGCAAAAGAAGAAGATAAAGAAGAAGACGAAGAAGAAGAAGATGAGAAAAGACAACGAGAAAAGAAGAGTTTGAGAATTATATATATATATACACACACAGAGGTTGGGGGAGTTTAAGGAACCAAAAAACAAAACCGTCTTGCTGCGAGCGCTCCGGGATGGTCCCAAGCTATTCGGACCACCCCGAGTGGGGACCGAGAGAGCTCGTTCGCTCGCGGCAATCAGGTGCCTTTGGAATGCGACCGTCCGAGAGAAACAAAACTAATTTTTATGCCCTTATCCAACCTCGAACATTAGGCATTACTTAGCCTCCCTGAGAAGCAAGTGGTCCATATAGTGAACGACGACGACGACGTGCACCAATGGAACACGAAAAAGAAAGAGAGAGAGAGAGAGAGAGAAGGAGATTCACTCACTCTCTCGAAGAATGAAGACAAGGATCCAAAAAGCTGTTTAGAAAAAGAAGAGAAATCCTGTCGGCGATGAAAGTTAAAAGAAAAGGTCCGATTTCGTGCTGCGAATCGATCGCGCTCCATTTAGCCCCTAGTTTATGCCTCGAACCGATCCGCATTATATAAATCAATACGTGCCAACTTTAGGCACGCGAGTTATCTTCACCATTCCTTCTTTTTATATATTTTTTTCTTTTTTTTTAAGCCCCCTTGTAATTTTTTTCGAAACATTTTATTTGTATTTTTTAAATCGTCTCTTTTTTTTTAAACAAAATATTTATTTTTTTCAGAAATGTACAATAATTAATTTTTCGCTAAATGAAAATTTGGTAGCCAACATTTTATTTAGGAAAAAATTTATCTGTGATATTTTTTAAAATTTTTGTTTGAAAATAAATTAAGTAAAAATTTGTTTTTTTTTATTTAGCATAATTTTCGATTTAATCAATTTTTATTGAGGGGGAGATTTTATTTTGTTATTAGGGAGAGAAAAAAATGGTAATTGTGGATTATTTAAAAAAATATTAATAAATTGCAGATCATCATGTTGCTGGAGTGAGGCACGAGAGAGGAAAGAGGCTTTGGTTTGACGTGTCGGAAGTGCCACCGGAAGAGCAGATAATTGGCGCAGAACTTAGACTCTATCGCAATATAACAACGATGAAACATCGTCGAAGTCGAGGATCATTTACAATTACAGCCTATCGTGTTTTTCGCACCAAGAAAGGGTACAAAAAAAATTTTCATTCTCAAAAAAAAAAAAAAATTTTTTTTCAATCAAAATTGTCTATAAAAGATAAAACAGTTCAATTAAAATTTCTATAATTTCTAAAAATAGCTTTTTTCAATTAAGTTAAAAAAATAGTTTTTCAAAAGTAAAAATATTAATTTATCAAAATTGTCTAAAAAATAAAATTTATATTTCAATAATAAAAATTTCCAGATTAGTTTCTAAAAATAATAATTTTTCAGTAAAAAAATTAAATTTATCAAAATCGTCTATAAAAAGTATAATTTCTACCATTTTTTATAAAAAAAAATAGTTTCTTCAATTAATTTTTTAATAAAAATTTAATACTTTTTTTTAAGTTAAAAAGACATTTAAATAGAAATTTTTATTTTATAATTTTAAAAGGAATGCAACAATTTTGTCTGCAAAGTGAAAAAAAAGAGAGAAAGAGATTTACTTTGAAATGCAAAAGAGATTCTGTCTCCTTTCGTACAAATATTACCCACCAGAAACTTTTCGTTCTAATTTTCCGAGAATCAATTTTACCGAGAATTGCAAGAATTTATTATAACGATCCAACTACAACTCTATTAAAAAAAAAATTTATTTTCTTGTCTAAATCTTTTGCGATTTGAGATTAAAATCAGAAATTCCATTTAAAAAAAAAAGGAAAAAAAAAATGTGACAAATTTTTGCATTCTTGTTGAATGAATCAAAAATGATTAATAATAATGATAAACAATAATATTGATTATTATTAATAAAAAATTAGAATAAATTAATAATATAACAATAATAATAATTATTATTATTATTATTAATTTATTCAATTTTTTCAAGTGTTTTTTTAAATTTTATAATAAATATTTCGAGATTTTTAACAGTTAAAAAAAATAATAATTTAATTATTTAAGGTCTCGAAATATTTATTCTCAATATAATTATTATTATTGTTGTTGTTATTATTCTATATAAATAATAATAATAATAATTTTTTGTCTCATTCTCGGAAATTAGTTCCATCCTTAAAGTTTTGACATCGTCATCTTGTCCTTAATTTGGCGGTGCTTAAGTTCCTGAAAAAAAATCTCAGGTATTTGTTCTACCTGTTCCTTTAGCTATATACGATATAAACTTGAGGGGTTTCGGTTAAGCTTCACCAAAAGGACCACCCTACCCGACTCTTCTCTTTCTCATTGTCTCATCCTTATCTCTCTCTCTTTTTCTATCTTCTCTCAGTTCTCTTCCTTAATGGACCTTCAAACTCGTTAGACACGCGTATTTACTGGAATTTAACGAAAAACACACACACACACAATATCGTTTTCAAGTCATCTAAAAAATTCTTTCAACTTTTTTAAATTTCCTTTTAACATTGTTTTTCTCAATAAGGTTGAAAATTTTTTAATCTTTGAAATAACAAGTGAAACATTATATTTCCATTTAGTCGAATTATATCAACTGCATTATTTTATAATATTAGTTCGTCGAATTTTTATTGAAGGGGAAAATTTATATTTTTTATTTTAAAATTTATAATTTATAATTTTAATAGATTTTTAAATAAATAATTTTTCTATTCGAATCGAATTATTTCTTTTTTCCAATTAGGGATAATTTAAAAAAATTATTTTTCTAGAGTAAAAAAAAATGTTGAGGTATATAATCTGTTAATATTGAATATGTGAAAATTAAAATTGCGTGTCAAAAAGATGAAGCGGATTTGTATGTTAGCGGGCCGGAAATATTATTTCGCAAATTGAAGTAAATTAACCAACACTGAAACGATAAGAAGAGAAGTTTAACAATGTCTCCGTTTGCAATTGACCTCTAGAATTTTTACACATGAAAATTATATTATTTGTCTCTTTCTCTCTAAATGCGTGACGCACTCTTTCTTCTTTGACATCTTTTTTTTCTTCTTCTTTTTCTCTCGTCTAATATATCTTTGACCACTATATATATATAAATATACCTTCACTCTTCGTCTCCACTTCTTCCTCAATCTCTCGAGACAAGCTGGCGACTCCAGTTTCTCATTATGTGTGTTGCTCAGCTTTCTCATATATGTACTCACCTGAAGGATTTTATACAATTGCAAATAAATCACACATACACATACAATTATTCCAATTGAGCGTTGTTCCTATTTTTATTTGAAAAAATTTTTTTTTTTTATTTTTCCTTCTTTTTTTGATTTATTTTTTCTTATTATTTATTTGCAAGGTGTCTAACAGTCAAGGAAAAGTTAGAGAATTTTTTTTAATTTTCTAGAATTTTTTATAAATAAATTAAAATAACTATTAGTTTCAAAAATTTTTTTACTTTTTTCCCAAAGCAAATGCAAATTAAAAAGTTGGTCTTCACACTCAATTATATTAAGCATGTGATATATCTTATATTCATTAAGTAAATAATTATTTACTACTATATTTATTGAATCTAATAAATGATTTTTTAAACTTGGATAACAATTAATTAATTTTTTTGCAGTGAAATATTTGGTTTTTTAAATATAAATAAAAATTATTTGATACAATTTTATTTTATCGGTTCAACTTCAAATAAAGTAAATTATTCATTAATACGAATAATTTTTATTATTTAATTGCTAATACCCACATTTAACTTATAAAAATTTTTACAGCGTCAAATCTTAAATTATCGAATTTCTATTTAGCAAAATTGTATAAAGTTGATTTTATATTATGCAAAATTTTCAATTTACATTTAACTAAAATTCGATTTAAAAAAATTTCTATTTAGCAGAACTCTTATAAAGCATTTTTTCTAATAATTTAAAAAAATTTTAAATTAATATAATTTCAATTTAACGAAATTTATGTCTATAAAAATTGATAAAAAAAAAAGAGAACTAAGTAGAATTTTTCTTAAATGAGAATTCTGTTAAATAAGAATTAGTTCAAATTGAAATTTCCTTTAATAAAAACTTTGATAATTAAGAATTTTGTTAAATATAGAAATTCTGTTAATTGTGGATTTATTCAATGACAATTCTGTTAAGTAAATATTTTGATAAATCGAAATTTACTAAAATAACAATTCTGTTAAAAAAAAATTGTTCTTTATGCAATTTTTCTTAACATAAATTCCGTTAAATTGAAATTGTATTAATTTGAAATTTGATGTACTAGAAAATCTGCTTTATATAATTTTACTAAATAAAAATTTGATAATTTAAGATTTGACGCCGTAAAAATTCTTTTAAATTAAATGTTGAGAATATTTATTCGTCCCCTCAATTAGTTTATTTATTTCACTTAAATATTTTATTTTTTACCAAGTTCATTATTTATTTGGTTTAAATACATATGAAATTAGTGGATAATAGACAGATAAATGATTTAATTGTATCAAAATAAATTTTATTTGAAATAAAAATTTTTTAGTGTAATTTAGGTCAGGGAAAATTAAGGATTTTTTTTTCCTAGCAGTTGTTAGACAACCTAATTTGTTTACACAATTCCTGCTGTCCATATAGTGGACCATAAATTTTTAACAAATTAATGATAAATAATTGCGATTTATTATCATAATTATTAAAAATTTACATAAATATGTATTTTATTAATATTGTTATAAATTCGGGAAAATTTTTGTTTCTCAATTCAATGTTTCTGAATTTTCGGAATATATTTTATATATATATTTAAATATATTTTATATTTTTATTTTTTTATAAATATATTTTTTATGTTTATATTTTTTATATTTATTTTTTTTTATATATTTTACTGAACATGAAAATAATTTTGAAATTCGAAAAAAATAAATATAAAAATGACAATATTTTGTTAAACAATTTGAAATGTAAAAATTCTGGAATATTTTGAATATCTTGTAACATTTTTCTCAGCTCATCAAGTGTCATCATTATTTCCGGAAATATTTATAGTTTTATAATATATATATACTGCAAAGGAATTTTATTTACGTCTCTAATGTATTTATTACAAGTTATAATAATTATAATTATAATAATTATTATAATTTTTGTTTTACAAAAAAAAATCAGTTTTTAATTTTGTTTTTCTATTATATTTTCAGTCAACGAGAATTACAATATGTTGATTCAGTAAATACAACAGTGAAAAATGGTTGGATTTCACTAAATGTGAGTGCACCTCTTCAACATTGGGTCAACAATCGAGAAGGAAATCAGGGTCTCTATCTGTCCGTCCATCCTTCTGATCGATCAAGTGAGCAAAATTTAATAAAAAAAAAAAAAATTTTTTTTTTTAAATTCTAAAAATAAATTAATTAATTAATTAAATATTTAAATTGTAAATATCGAAAATCCGGCTTGACTGGAAAGTATTAACTTATCGGTCACTGGGACAAAAAGCGAAAGAGAAGAATCAACTTTATTGAAAGCGAAAGTTCTCTCGTTGAATATATTTTTATCTCTTTTTTTTCTTTTTTTTAATTCATAGAAAAACTTTTTGGTAAAAATATAAAATTTCCCGCCTAAAAAAGGAAAAGATGAATTATTTTATACTTAGTTTACTTTCTTTGAGATAATAAAACAGAGAAATAAAAGGAAAATTTTTTTTTCGGAAAAGAAAAATATATAATGTAATTGACGTGGAATAAACGTGTGCTTTCTTGTTGAAATTTTCTCAAGTCTAGATCGATATGTATATATATTTATCCTAAATTTAGCCTCTGTAACTGGTTGGATCAGTTTAGTTGACTTACGTTTGTTGGATTTTGTAAGCACGTACACTGCGAATGCTTCAAAATCTCTATTTTCGCATATAATACTAATATACTAATCTCTATTTAACTAAAAAGTATTTTTAAAACAATGAATTGAAATTTTTATTTTCAATTTTTTTTTACCATTACTTATTTTTAAAAAATTTTCAAAATATATAGTTTTTTTTTTATTTTTTAAAAATTAACATTTAAAAATCTTTAATATGAGATAAAATCTACTTTCAAAAATGCAAAAAATTTTTCTAAAATTTTTGCTTTTTAAATTAAATTTTTAAATAAAAATTAAAAAATTTCCAATTTTATTTTATATGTAATTAAATTGAAATATAATGTAAAATATTAGATTATATTATAAATAAGTATCGAAAAAAATAAATAGCTTTCTCGTTGCTGTTCTCTCTGCTCTCACTTCTCTTTCGTTTTTACACCCAAATGATAAAGAAACCATCACTTTCAGTAATTTGTTTATTTAAAAAAAAAATTTTTTTTTTCATATAATATTATTATTGAATAACGAAATTTTTTATTTTAGAAAAAAAATATCATTTTTTTTTTATTCGCAAAGTCAAATTTCAAAATAATTATATAAACAAATTAATAGAAAAAAAGAAATTTTTAAAAAGCGTGAAACAAATATAAATACGGTATATTTAAAAACATATGAAAAAAACTTTGGTGAGATAGAAAGATAAATAGCGTCTTCTTGTCTTCCTTGACTTACTACATGAGGGAGGGTGGGCGTGTGTGTATAAGAATGAGAATAAAAAAAAAAAAAAAAAAAAAAAAAATGAAGAAAAATAAGAATAAAAAGAGTTCCAAGATCGTAAGATAAGTTCGACCCCCGAATCCAATTCTGCCACTGAATCCCAGATGAGGTCCGTGATGAGGAAGAGGAAACCTTCTGATCCGTTAGATAAGCCGGATACACCTGTTGCCGTTGCGCCTTCGAGCTTTTTAAAATTGATATTCTTCAACAGGTGTATCACTCAAAACATGACATTCCAAATGTCACAATTTCTTATATGATGTGATGGAACATTATTTACTGCTTGTCAACGAAACATATTATTATTTGCCATTAAATTGTAATAATAATTATATTCAATATTTTTCCCCTAGAGGGTTTTACATATACTATATACATATATATATAATAAATACAGAGAATAAATATTTATTTGGTGTAAATAAAATTTTTATTTATTTCAAATTTTGTTTGAAGTAAATTTTTAATAATATTTATTTAGCTAATTGAGATAAATATTTCTTTATTTCTTTATTTGTAATTTTTTTTTTACTTTTACTAAATCAAAATTTATTAAATATTATTTTGGAAAAAAAATTGAGATAATTTCAAATTTTATTCTAATCTCATTAAGAGAGAAAATATTAATTATTCTCAAAAAATTTTTTCTTAGTTTTTGTTTCAAAAATAAAATTTTATATTTGCTGTGAATAATTTTTTATTTGTTACAAAATAAAAATTTCTATTTGACACAAAATAATTCTTTATTTTTCTAAAAAATAAAAAATTTTTATCGACACAAATAATCGTTTATTTGTTTCAAAATAATAATTTTTATTTGAAACAAATAATCATTTATTTGTTTAAAAGCAAAATTTTTTTTTTGATCTAAAACAAATAAATAGTTATTTATTTCACTATTTCTATTTTTAATAATAAAATTGTTCAATTTTGTAAAAATAACATTTTTTTTCTATTTTCAAAAATAATTTATATTATTAGCTGAAAAAGTGATAATTTTCAACATCTCTTATAATTTAAATTCGAATTTTACAATAAATACATAAAATTCAATAAATATTTTTTCGTTATCTTCATATTTTCAAAATCATTTCTGCAAAAAATAAATTTTTAAGCGTCGACGACTAAAATCGAATTAAATAAAAATTTGTATATATTTTTTTTTTATAAAATATTATATTCTGAGTGAAAACGTTAAAATTTTGCTAAATAGCATTCGCAAAAATCTTCGATAAAAATTAAATTTTACTTGTCCCCAAAGAATAAATTTCAAAAAAAAAAAGAAAAAAAAATGTTATTTCGAATTTTTCTCCAAAAAGAAAAAGATCTTTTTCTTAAATATTTTCTATTATTATCGATACTTTTTAACATATATATTATACAGATTTTGTTCTTTTTTTTTTCTTATATACTAACACAACTTTTTATTCTTTTTGTTAAACAGATATGAGAAAGAAGAATATTTCAATTCAAGTGAAATCCAAAAACATCTCAAGTTACAATTATATATACATTTGAAAAAAAAAAAAAAGTTCCAGCGAAATTCCCGTCCGGTTTTTCAAATGAATTCTCTCAAGTTGAAACTATTCTTCAGCGATGAATAATATATTTGATTTTTGAAGAAGAGATTAAAGATGAGACATTTGATGGAAATCTTCTAGAGAAGAGAATAGATGTTTTGTGAGGCTGTAATTTTGATATTAGTCTTCGCAGGATTCAATATTATATCCCGATTTTTGAAGAAAGGATCTCGTGACCCAATTTTTCGTTGATCCTTGCGGATAATAAGCTTGTTCATATGGCAAAAACCAAGGAGAGTGTGAATAATAAAAAGAGAGGGTCAGAATAGTATTATATATATATATGAGGCGTATAGTTTGTTGTTTGCCGCGCCTAGATCATTTTGTTTCTTACGTCCCTCACCGCGAACTTCTCACAATATGGATATCGTTCTCTCTCTTTTATCTCCTTTTTCTCTCTCTCTTTCTGTCTCATGGTCTCTCTTTCGAGCATTCGCGTAACTCTCCCCCGGGTCCCACTGGACAACCGGTTTACCTTTAATCATTCAATATAAAACACAAGATCGGTGCTACACCTTTATATACATCCTGATATTGTATTGGTAGCTCACCAATATATATGATCATCGACTTTTATTTTAACATCGAGAGAATTGTATATATATATATGTGTATACATATATATATGTAAAGTACCTCTCGAGAAGAGGCGCGTCTTTCTATTGCGACACATATATATATATATATATTCTCTCTTCGTATATATCCAGTTATTTACTTCACTCTCACAAAGATGATGATGGTTATAAAGATGCCTTTTGCCTTCGACATATTATACAGACCTTATCGAAGGTCCTCCCAACTCAAAAGTATTTATTTGACACTATAGATTCTTTTTTCTGACTAATATTCATTTTTTCTTCTTTGTTTTCCATTATTATTAATATTATTATAATTTCACGCTACAATATAGAGAATAGAATAGAATTCTACAATAGAATTTTTGTATTTAGGAATGATGGATTATAATTATTTTTTTTTTCATACATAGATGCGAAAAATTTTTATGACGATGTCTATATAACCGGAAAAATCGAGAATTAGGTAGAAAATTTTCGTTGGACAGAGAATTTCATTTTAAAAAATTTTTTTACTAGAATCTGATTTTAAATTAATTAGATATTATATTAAAAATATTATTATTAACTAGCAAAATTAAACGCGCGCGAGCGCGCCAAATTGAGTATTTAATTCTGTGTTATAAAGAAATTAAAGATTAATATTATCAATAATAATTTAATTTATTAGAATATTATTACATATTAAATGATAATAATGAAAATTATATGTTTACAGGCCTCGGATTATACGACTTTTTTCAAAAATACGAATTTATCGACTTATTTTAATAAAATGCGACATTTTTTTTCCATTTGAAAAAAAAATGTAAATAAAATACATTTTTTTAGTATAAAATGCAGATCTTCTTCAGATCTTCTTCAATTCAATTATTTAACAAATTTTGAACTAAAATGATTCTTCACTAAATTAATTATTTTTAATAATTTTAATGAAATACATCTCAAATTCAAATATAACAAAATTATTTTTCAATTAAAATTTTTATGAAATTTAACAATTGTTTATAATTTAAAAATAAAATATCACAATAAAATTGAATTATTTTTTAAAAATTTCAATTCAAAATAAACTAAAATTCAATTATTACCCGAAATTTTAATTCAAAATCAATTAAAAATACAATAATTATCAAAAATTTTCAATTTAAAATGAAATAAAATTCAATTATTTTCTAAAATTTCTATTCAAAATTAATTATCCAAATTTTCAATCAAAAATGAAATTCAATTAAATTATTATCCAAAATTTCAATTAAAATTCAATTATTTCTCAAAATTTTCAATTCAAAATGAACTGAAATTCAATTATTTTCCAAATTTAAAATCAAATAAAATTTCATTATTCTCAAAAATTTGAATTCAAAATTAATTGAATTTTCAATAATTTGAATTTAAAAGCATCTAAAACTTAATTCTAAAATTTTCCATCGAAAATTTTTTTTTTTTGAAATTTAATAATTTCAATTATAACTCTAAGAAAATTCAATTATTTTTAACTATTTTAATAATATTCTTTGGAAATTCAACTATCTGAAACCATTTTTCAATTAAAA